AATGTGGTCCGGACTCCGTACGGCTTAGACCATACACCAAGTATTATTGAGTCCAATCAGAGCATTCTCACCGGCTGCGGTGCGATGCGAAGCTCCAGGAAGTTTCTGGATGAAGTCTACTTTTTCTGAACACAGCATGCGTATTGTCATGAAGTTAAAGAAATTACATGAACCAGACAGGAAGTGAGATGTGTTTCAGAGAAGGACATCCGGTTTATTTCAAAATAAAACCTGCATTGCTTTATTTTTTGTTTCATCAATAATGACAGGGATTTTGAGCTCTTGTAGGAGCAGATATCCAGGGATGTTCTGCAGTCACTGCGAATGAAACCTGTTCAGCATTCAGTGTGAACGAGGCTTTAAAGAGATATGTTGATCATTCTGAAGTGTCGTTCTATCAGTTATTCATCTACTGAGAGGATGTGTTTGCAGGTGACATCAATCAAAGCAAGCACGGTTTCTTGTAGGGGGTTTCTTCATAAACCGGTACATTAATCTCACACTCCACGTATTGTACACCCCTGCTCTGTATGATACTCAAAAAAAAAAAGAAGCATTAATTCACTGTGAAGTGCACATTTAAAATTAACACAGTAGCATTCAAAACCTTTAAAGATACTGGCCAGAGACAAATTTTCTTTGAATCACATGTGTAAAAAGTATTAAAACCTCAACTGAAATCGTTTTAGGATTTCCAATATGTGGATTTTTAAGAAAATCTTGTGCTTTTAAATAACGCAGCAAATACAAAAGACAGTTTCCGGTCTGAGGCTGAGCAGCTGCTGGTGTTTCAACAGTAACTCCCCTCAGAAAGCGAGTGTAAACACTACTGCACCTCCGGTGCTTCTGCGTTAGCTACAAAGCAGATGACAATGTGTCATCAGTCAGCTTCTAAAACCTCTGCTAGTTGGTCCAAATAAATGTTTTTTGACTACGAGAAGAACGGATATAGGCAACCGTGATAGGTTTAGGTAAGTCACCCAGCCTGATTGACTTGGATTAGCCACATGCCGTTTGACAGATGAGAGGAAGGCACATCTGGAAATATTCAAGACTCAGAAAACATGCAAGTCAATCTAGACGCTGATGAAGATATGGACGCGGAATGTCTTCAGAACCAAAATCGGTAGTTAAATGTCTGCACGTTGGTGGACGAGCGAACAGTTAATGACTGGACCATGCTAAACTATGGGTACATAGCAGTAGCTCAGGTGGTAGAGCGGGTTGCCTCATGATCAGAGGGTCATGGGTTCGATTCCAGCTCCTGACTGGGGTATTCTGCTGTTGTGTCCTAAGGCAAGGCACTTCACCCAACTTGCCTATGTTGGTGGTGGTCAGAGGAGCCAACGGGGCCAAATGGCAGCCTTGCTTCTGTCAGACCGCCCCAGGGTGACTGTGGCTACAAAAGTAGCTTATCATCACTGGCAGTGAGTGAATGTGAGTGTGTGAAAGCGTCTTTGAGTGTCCTAAAAAGGCGCTATATAAGTTAAATGCATTATTATTATTATTATTATTGCTATAAATTAATATTTTTCCAAAGTTATATCAATATGCACATGCAGCAATCAAACTGGCAGCACATTGTTTCATTTTTCTGTAACTATTGAATTGTACTAGGACAGCCCGAATCTGTGCTGTTAGCATCGGGCTGTCCCAATACAATTATTATTTGTGTACCACGCACTCGATGCCTTACAACGCACTCTCCAAGAGCACTTTGCTGAAGACCGCAGGGCGAGATTGGGCCTGGGTGTTTCTCAATGCCAAGGAACCTTGCCTCGCCCCAGTTGCCTAGGAGATGCGTCATCAGGAACTGCTAAGAGGTGTTCCAATGTTCATGTTCTACCGAGGCGTCTGTTCTCCATTTTATAGCCGTTAAGCTAGCTGAGCAAGGATACACAGGAGGTGTCTTGTAGCTCGACCTTGGTCAAATATTTCCCAGAATACACCGCAGCATTTTCAAAAGTATGGTGATCAGAAGCCACCAGCTACTTCAGGGGCAAATTTCAAGTTTAAATATAAGTCAACTAATTGCAGCCATCAGGCTGATGTCTGAAATGTGTTTTTTTGATCCTAAGAAGTTAGCTATAGTTGGTTAGTTGCTTAGCAGTTGCAGATTTGGTGGCTAGCAGGTAGTAATTCGCTTACATGTTTAATTTAACACATTTATACACAATTTAAAAAGTTAAAGTCTTGTTATATACTTATATTGAAACTTATATATATAAAATACAGTGTTATCTCCCGTGTCACGTGACGTTACGTGACTGCAGCTGAAGCCACGGTCACATGATGCAAATCTGTTCCAAGTAACCGTTTTCTTTGACCAAGGAAGGACAAAGTCATTGTAAGCATTGAGAAAAGTAGACTACTTCCTCTACAGGCAGCCTTTTGATTCGTTTGAGTACTGCTGCCACCGAGTGACTGGAGGCTCATTTACCCTTTCTGTAAAAAAGACAATGCCGTTATTACAAGAACAAAAATCTCCTTTTTGGCTCATAATGAATCCTGGTATAGGGTTGGCCAGAAAAGGGACACCAGACTTATCCTGAAATTCAAGGAAAATATGGACCTATTTGAGGAAGCATTTTGAGAATCCTTTGAATTATTAGTCCTATTGCTTCGTTGTGACGTAATTTACCTTAAAATGTGGCCTTGGAGGGATGCAGCCTCTGAATTTGGTCACAGCCATTGAGACTTTCTTAATGCCACACTGAGCCATCAACAGTTCTTCTAGACATTAGTTTGAGCATTCAACAAAATATTCCAAATCTATTTATCTCAAACTAAAAATGCTTGTGAAGTTCAACAGGTTACATTGAATAACAATAAGCAGCTAATTTAGCATGCAAGATGAGTGTTTTCAGAACACACTTTTATGTAAAACATTCAGACAAATGATTTACCAGCAGACCCAAACAAATGTGGAAACACCCTGGAAATGAGATAACTACCTGCAGTTTAATTTGATTCACTACCTCTTGCAACTGTCTCTGTTTCTGCAGCTCTAAATTATACCAAAGTAAAATAAAAGGTAGCCAAATACCACAGCAAGAAAGCTACCTGAGGCAGGAATTCTCCATCTCAGCTTGATAAAAGAAAGTAATCCATTTAAAAGAAAACAATCAGCTCTTATTGGAGGAGAAATGAGTCAAAATCACTAAAGGTTGGGAGAATCTTCTTTGAAAATAATGGATCCCAGCTGGTACCTTAAATAAATGCTAAGTAGTTTCTGTGTTTGTAATGTTGACTCTAGAAGAGGTTGAAGGAGTTGGGTTCTGTGTTTGGGGACTTGAAGAAGCACCAGAGAGAATATTATGCTTTTGTAGAAAACAGAGCTGGAGTGTGGTCTCTGTGAAGCTAGGAACTCCTAGGGAGAAGCTTCAGAAGCACAAAGATTTCTTCTGTTACCTACCGGGCAGCAGCATTTTGCATTAATACTGTGCATCTACAGTAGGAAACAGGAGTACAAGCTCACATAAACCAACAAAGATGTCCGTTATCTTGAATAAAGGCTTTCGAAAAACAGCTTGAAACATTTAACCCTAAAAGAAAGAGCAGTTCGTCCTTCTACTGGGTAGATTTTTAAAGTTCTAAATCAGTCTGGTGAAACTCTGCTGCTACATTTATTTTCTGTGCGGTGATTATTTTGTTTTGTTTGACAGAGATGATGTGCCACCGCCTGACAGCCGCCCGGTTAGTCAGGTCAGAATCCACGAGCGGCGTTCTGTCGGGTGGACGGGAGTGAGATGAACTCTTCAAACGTGAGACGTACACACCATCCCTCCAGCGACAGTCGCAGACAAACACCTGTCAAACATGCACCAGCTGAATGTGACAGCAGATATGCAGTTTGATGTGCCACTGAAATGACCACTATGCATGAAAGGGATGAGCTTCAGGATCTTTCTAACCATCAGCCTGTGCCAAAGACACAAGTTGTTTCCAGTTATTTAGTTGCATCTTTACGAAATACCAAAAAGAACTTCGTTTCATAGAGAGAAAACATCATTTTTAGCTCCAATATGAGATTTAACAACAGATGGAAATTTGATCCACTGGCGGATGGGGCCTCTCTCAGGTCCTGACCTTCTTTTCTGCACATTTTCTTAAAGAATTAAATACTTCTTTCTTCTTTCTTTTAATTGTACATCTTTGCCAAATTTGTAAGCATAAAGTTCCCAGAAACGCTCGGGCAAAAGCAGCCAAAGTCTAAAAGAAAATGTGTGAAAGTCCAAAGTTCCATCATTAAAAAATATTTTCAAAGGTTACAAGTTTTCTAGCTCTTTGGTTCAGACACATGTGACATCCACAGGCATCATATACATAGGCGCACCATAGACTGGCACTGCCTATTGGAGCTGGTGTAGCAGTGAGCCGCCATTTTAGGTAGGTTCCCATTTGCCCCCAGTCCATTTATTTGTACTGAGGAAGGTGCTTACCAACTAAAAAACACATTTTATTCTGCTTTTTCACAAAAAAAAAAAAAAAAAGACACATGGTATGGCATGATGGTTAAAATATATAAAATAAATTTAAATATTAAATCCCATCAGATAGGCTAGAAAAGTGAATAGTAATCCCACGTGACCCGTTTTAAACAGTATGTCAGTTGTTGCATCTGTAGGCTGCACAAAAAACAGACATGGCTGCTCACTCTGCATTGACTCCAGTTGGGTTTGGAGAGGGAGGAACCCACCAAGTATGGCGGTGAAGCTGTCACGCTCTCCAGCGTCCAATGGTGAGTCTACGTATTCACGCCTATGGTGACATCTGTCCTGGTTGATTGTTCTCTGGGTTTGTTTCCTGATCTCAATGGTTTCTTTGGTCTAGCATTTGTATCTGCTGGTTTGTGATTGTCCTGCTTCTCTAGGTAGGGTAACATCTTTAGAAAATAGACAACAAACAACAACCCAAAAATCCTGGCAACCAGGGATTATTTCCCTGATAATAAAACATGTGAATCTAAACCCAACCCCACCCAATTACAATAGCAGAGGTTCAAATTTTAAACAAAAGGTTTATTTCTTGATAGACCTCATTCGTAAATAATCAACCAGTCAACTGAAAAAAATTATACAAAAAAAAAAATTACAATCAGGTACTTCTTTGTTCAAGGACGAACTGGCAGGAGCTGACATATCAGTCACATGCAATGGTTACATCCCCTCCAATCACCACCATCTGTCCCACGTGACCCTGGTTTCAGGATGATTTTCTCATGAAAACTTTTCACACAACCGTTTCAAAACAAAACAGCATGTTCTGCTCCATAAAGTCTGTGGAGGAGCTGGTGTGTTTAGTGCTTCATTCTAAGAGAAATATGTCACATTGTGTGATGGAGCCCCTCGTTGATTCCACCTTGCAGATAAACAGCAGATTTTACTTTCTTATACCATTATATTGTTTTGTTGCAAAGGATTGTGGGAAATCTTTGATCAAATACTAGAACCAGCAGATGGAATGTAAATAAAGATTCCATGTAGTTAACTTTGTTGTCAAACATCGAAGAGTCTGCAAAAGAAAAAAATACTTCATTTTTTTCCCTTTCAAAGTAAAAGCTGCACATCTGTGAAGTGATAATAGCACCAGGAAATGACTGGGAATCAACTTGAACACTAAGCACAGCAACTCCACAAAGAATAATCCTTCTGATTATAAAATAATCTTCAGACACCAACATCGCACCAACAGGATTTTCTCACATAAAAAATGACTGGTCTGGAGGATGGAGGGATGAATACCATCACCTGATGAACAGTAAAAGCAAAAAATCTAAATAAGGCAAGGTAGAGGACTCGTAACCTCATGCAGACACGTGGCTGAATTTGGCTTTGGTGCGAGATTACAGAAAAAGTTCAGCTCAAAACATAAACTGTGGTTCTGTGCAGAAAATGATGAACAGATTTAAAAGTGGCCTTTGGAGTACTGATGTTTCCCTTTAGCATCCAGCTTGAGACCCCGGCATGAACTGTGCATGTGAGAAACCTCCTCGTTGCCTCCGAGAGTCTCGTGTGAGGAGGAATGAGCCGCTTCCACCGTGTTGCATTAGTGCCCCGCCCCCTCCATCAGTAAAGTCCTGCACAAGTGCGCCAGTTCAGTTTTTGAGACGGCGAGAATCTTTACTGATTCGCGACCGTTTGTCGAAGGCACCGACTGTATGCTTGTATGTGTGTGTATGTGTGTGTGTGTGTTTATGTGGGCCGCTCATGGGATCATGCATTCATGGAGAAGTAGAACCAGTCCACAAGGTCGATTCCATCCACTGGTACAAGCCCACAAGGCATCACCATGACAACTAAAGCAAAAAAAAAAAAATTCTGACAAAAACAAAAAAAATTACACTTCTTTCTTTTTTTAAGTTTGTTTGATCTGCATCTTTGCTCAACCTTCTCACAATAAGCATTAGTACTGATAATAATCTCTATTCAATAAATTATCTATACTGTACAATTAATTCACCTTGCACAGACCTGCAACAAAGGAGAGCAGTTTTCAAAATAAAGCTATCAACAGTGACTTTCTGCTGTGTCCAGGTTTGAACTAAAGTCCCTGCAGATCACACTGAGGTGGACAAACAGCAAAACAGCTGTTACTCTTTATTGTTTACCTTTTCCTGCCTGTACAGAACATTAAACAGGACTTCCTGCCCGCTAAAAAAAAGGTTATGCATAATTAAAAAGTGTGGAACTCCAGAATGAAAGAAACGGAGTAAAAAGAGTTATTTTCCAGCAAAAACAAGAAATAGGGGTTTTCTCCCTGTGTTCTTTTCCTGGAGAGAGAGAGAGTCACTTTGAGGACAGCAGATAGATGATTCCTGATTTTTAGTTTTTTTAAGAAACAGGGCCTTTTACTGCACTCCTTCTTCATCCACGTAGGTCGAGGGAAACCATCCGATCTGCAACATGAAACAGTCATCATCAGAGATGGGACGGATGCTAATTGAATTATTTCATCTACCTTTCATAGATAAGCAGATAGATGTAGAGAACACTTTCAAACAATGAACTGAATCTTCATTACACCTTTAGTTGGGGTCACTCCAAATACTTCTTTCTAATTTCCCTTTCCCTTGCATTTTTATCTTAGTGCAAAAAAGGCTTTCTAAATGCTTTCTCTGCTGTTGCTAGGTAACGGTTTCTTTAACTTTTCGAAATAGTAAAACGAGAACCAACCCCACTGTGGCAGTGAATGGTTATATTTATAAACACACCCACCTTCTCCTCATTTACACACATTTGGATCTGGGAGTTGTTGATGCTCAGAAAAACGACCAATCAGGAGTCAGAACATGAGAACTTCCTGTTTTAGACACAGACTATTTCTGTTAGGCAAGGCTCGCTGTTAGGGCAGACTTTTACATTTGTAATTAAGGTTATCGAGAGACAACTCTGCTCTTCTGTAGAACACAAAGCCTTTTTTTCTATGACTGATTTTATGCTTTTTTGGGGTTGATTAATCACGGCTAGTCCTTTTTTACTGTAAGTGTTTGTAATTTAATTTCTTTTTTGACTTTGTTATAAATTTCTTTTGAGGCTCCTTGATCTTCACGGCTATATTTATCTTTTTTTTTGTGTGTGGGTTTCCATGTTTAGTGAAATTAACCTGAACACAGGTGTTACATTTAGCTTTGGTGCTGCTATTTTTACAAGATACAGCAAAAAATTTGATTTTTTCTGGAATTTTAATAGGTGACAAACACCATAGCAAAGCCAGAGGACACCATGGGTCCAGCTGCTGGTCTTCATGTTAGGAGGCGTAAGCTGCTCATACACCAGAGCTGACTCTCACAGAGCAGCCACCCATCCATCCACTTTCTTCCACTTATCCAGAGTCGGGTTGCGGGGGGCCCTCCTATGTCAAGAGGCCCAGACTTCCCTCTCCCCAGCTGCTTGGGCCAGCACCTCTGGGGGGGAATCCCAAGGCTTTCCCTGGCCATGAGACATAGTCCCTCCAGCGTGTCCTGGGGCTTCCTTTATGTCTGCTCTTGGTTGGACGTCCCTGGAAAACCTCACCATGGAGACGTCCAGGAGGCATGCTAAATAGATGCTCGAGCCACCTCAACTGGCTCCTCTCGATGTGGAGGAGCAGCGGGTCTACTCGGATGACCGATCTTCTCACCCTCTCTAAGGGAGAGCCCAGACACCCTGCAAAAAACACTCTGCCACTTGTATCCGTGATGTCATTCGTTCTGTCACTACCCAAAGCTCGTCACCATGTGGAACATAGATCCTAAGCTAAAGGCAGTCCAACAAAGTATTGGAGCATGTGACCTTTTTGCTTAGTGGCAACTTTGTATAGTCAATGAATCAATCAATCAATGAAAGCTTTATTTATAAAGTGCCTTCCGCAACCCTGTCAGGAAGCCCAAGGCGCTGAGTCCTTTCTAAGTGTCATGGGTGGACCCTGGAAACCTCCCTGTCTGAAAAACCTCTCCTGGGAAGCTTCCAGATTCCACCCAATAGCTAAAAACAAAACAGGAACATATATATATAACTAGATTCTGGAAACATATGGCTCTTAGCCATTAGCGCCTAAGGAGAAGGAGCTTGGTCATCCAGGAGGACCTTGGAGCAGAGCATCTTTGGTTGCCTGTGCACATCCTGATATCTGCTGGAGTCCTGATTTGTAAACCAGAAAAAGCCAGCCTGCTTTTAGGTTTGGTTTTAAAAATGTGTTTTTATTTTTTCATGAAAAATGAACTCCCTGTTTCTTCTATACAGCAGTGTTTTAGAACATTAGTGCCTACTCTTGTGAGTGTTGCCAATAGCCAGAAACTATTCTCTTGATGCCATGATTTGCTCCTTTATGCTGGCTCAACAGGGACTTAAGTTTTTCTTGAAGTGCCGCTAAACGACTGAACAGAACATGATATGTAAGTGATTCAAACCTAATCCATAATCTAGACAAGACACTGAAACGTTTGTTTAATAAACACCATTCCATGATTCTAATGGATTTTTCACCCATTTTTGCCTTTCTGTTAGAAAGTTATAAACAATTGCAATCTTACCCTCTGTAGATAGCAAACACGTGATTTTGCGCTATACAAATAAACTGAACTGAATTAAACTGATAGCTCACGGGGACTGTGGAGGTCAGACACCTTTAGGAGCGGCTTGTCAAAAACACAAAAACTGAATTGAATTGAAATCATGTCACTCCTTCCTAATGCCTTTATACTAATAACTGCTTTGAGGTGGTCTGCATTAATTTGCTTTACATAGATGGATCAGAGGGCTTTAATTTGGTGCATCAAGAGAAATGGTGAAGAAACACGTGGGTTTCCATCTTTGATGACATCAAAGTAATCTAATGGAGCATTCTCTCATTAATGTCATGGATACACAGCATTTTATAGAAAATATTACAGACAAATATAGCCTTAGAGCAAATGTTTAAGGTTCAGGAAAAACTAGAAAATATTGTACAGCTGCTCCAGGCCTCCCACATGAGCATGTTGTGCATAGATAAGTAGTTAGATCAGACCTGAGAGCGCCATGATGGAGGTGATGACAGGAGAAGCAGGAAGTGATTATCAGAGTTCAGTTCGGCGACTGCTCTGGGAAATAAAAAAAGCTGTTTTCCAGCTCGTAGGTGTGGGCTGTGAAAAACCCTTGTAGCACCTGCCAGATGGTGAATGTGAGACGAGCTGACGCGGCGACTGAGTTTCATCTTTCTGTGAAGCAGATTCTGAAGATGACTTTCCAGTTTGAGCAGTGGCAGGCTGATCATTTTCTGGGATGTATTTATGAGTCTCTGGAGGCTACTGTGCAGTTTGCATACCAAGCTGTGATACGGCGTGTTAGAACGCTCTCAGCAGCACGGGGACTGAAGGCCTAGAGCAGCTTTACAGATGGGTTCGTTCTCCTAAGCGCCAATTAGAGAAAAAACCTCAGCTGAGCTTTTTCTCTTTTTTTTTGTATTCATGAGTGGATTTGACTACTTTTAATATCTGGGTCTTGAAAAACTCTACTTCCTTGTCCTTACTTCCTGATCAGGTTGGATCAGCTCTGCGTGGAGGCTGGAGCTGAGAGCATCTTCTTTGGCTCTGCAAACATCCTGAAGGGGATCAAAGTTAGAGACAAGGCCGGCCTTTATGATCGTGAGTGTCACTGCTTGGTAAAGTCTCTTTAAAGAGGGACTGCACACCATCAGAAAATGTAACTCTACCTCTAGTCAATATTTGAAAAATGCCATGATAGTGGGCGTTGCCAGGAGGCACAGAGTGGCATGGCCAAGTGTGGAGTGGGAGGAGACTGTACCGATGACGTGAAATTGTACCAGCCCCAGTCCATCACAAGTTTAAAATGATGTGTGTCTTCGTGTCTTCGACTTGTTTCCTTCTCACACTTGTATTTTTTGTGTGTTGAGTTGGCATGAAACCATGGTTCTCGATCGGAAAATGGCGGTTTGCCAACTCCAGGGTCGCGTGAGAGGTCCTCCCCCAAGTGGAGGAGTTTGAGTACCTCGGGGTCTTGTTCAGGAGTGAGGGAAGAAGGGAGCGAGAGATCGACAGGTGGACTGGTGCTGCATCTGCAGTGATGCAGACGCTGTACTGATCTGTCGTGGTGAAGAGGGAGCTGAGCCAGAAAGCAGGGCTCTGAATTTACTGGTCGACCTACCTCCCAATCCTCACCTATGGTCACGAACTTGAACGAGATTGTGGATACAAACAGCCGGTCAGGATGCCTCCCTCGGGAGGCGTTTTGGGCATGTCCTGCCAGCAGGAGGCCCTTGGGTTGACCCAGGACTTCCTGGAGGAAATACATCTCTAGGTTGGCCAGGGAATGCCTGGGTGTCCCTACCTGGGATGCTGCCCCCGCAACCCGGACCCCGAAGAAGCAGAGGAAGGTGAAGTGAGGTGAGGTGAGGAGTTGGCATCCTGTTTCTTCTATGTATGTTTTATTGCAAAATTTGCATATTTCATATATGACTCTGCATTTATGCGCTGATGATAACTTGTCTTTTGGGTGTACTAGTATTTTCCTGTCGTGTACGCTTTGTTGGCGTGTTTAGGTTGTGTTTGTTCATCGCTGTTAGAATCTTTTCTGTTATGCCTTAAATGTGTGGAAGTAATAACCCCTTCATCTGAATATTTATTTCACTTTGTCAACTTCTTTGAAGGAAACCTTTTTTTGTTGCAAATAAAATGATTTTTCTCTTTTGTCTAAATTCTATTTTTCATTCAAGTTAATTGAACAAGTTTTTTTCTATGCTTACGAGACACCGCTAATGCTAACCAAATAAATGAAATAAAGCACGTAAACAAAAGGACAAGTCCTGTCTTAATAAGAATCCAGGTCCTGAGAACCAGCAGCATCCTGACACACCCACTGATGGTCCAGCTGTATAACTCTGATGTGGATCCACGTTTACTTTGCATCTAGCTCAGCTTTACACCCAGCTGTTTGTCCTGTGGCAGCTAACTCGCTGTCTGGGTCTCTTTAACCTGAGATGTAAGACCTTGGGATGTCTTCTGACAGAATAAAGTTTCTGTTCGTGTTCCAAATGGAGTTAAAAGCAAAGGTGATGACGCACTGTGATAACATCTAAATGATAGCACTTTCACACGGAGAAGTACAAGTTTGGCTGCAGGAACTAAGTGAATCCACTTAGTCTGCCTCTACAGGAACACATTACCCAGCTCCGACCTGCAGCTTTAGAGGGACATCCTCTTCTACAGCCAGACTATGGAAGCGCTGTATGCCCAGGCAGACAGGTCTTTCCGGTTTATCTATTATTACAGGATGATCTCACACTTACTCGTCCGTTGGCCTCTCCTTTCCACCAGCCCTGGTCTCCTCCGATCTTGCTGTAGATTTTAACGATCTCTCCTTCTCGCAGCGATAGCTCTCTCATGTCCCGAGCTGCAAAGTTATACCTGGCAATGGCTGTGCTGACCACGCGAGGAGTGAACACTGGAAGAGGAATGAGCGAGAGCTCAGACGTTTTGGTTTCGTTTATAATTCGCTCACAGGTAGGATGAAAGGCTCGCGTTAGAAAAGGATAACGTCTACACCGATAATGTGGAGGTGACACACGAAACACTGGAGCCACTAACTGACAACAAATGGCTGCATCATGGGATGGCAAATTGGTTTCCTTTCCTTGATTTAATGAGGAAATGTCATCCTGCACCAAACTGAAATCTTAATGAAAAGCAGAAATAATGAGGCTGAGAGCAGATATGCTTATTAAGTCATCTCAGGCAATAAGATGCAAGCAGTCGACATGAGTGAGACGAGAGGGAAGGGAGAAGAGTACCTGACCAGAAGGGAGCTGAGCTCGGAGAGGAGGAGAAGTTGAGGCCTTGCGGACTGAGGAAGGAGAAATTGTAGGAGGCGCAGGTTGCTGCTGAGAGGAGGAAAGAGAAATAATGGAGAGAAAGCTGCAAAGAGGCATGCAGAGCTAAAGCAAGAGAAGCAGTGTAACGCTCAAGTCACAGGATACTTGGAAGGAATGCACATCGCCCAAAACCTTTCTAGAGTTTTAAACCGAGATCAGCTTACGCTACAAAAATGTTGGATGAACTCAGAATGTTAGGGTCATTTAATGGTTTGATTTTGGAAGTGCTGCAAGACCAAATCTTAGTTTAAAATTCGTAAAACTGACTGTTATTGTCCGTTTTCTGTGTGCTAATGTGGTGGCCATCTTTAACTGGCTAGACTCCAAAAGCTAACCAGATGTAGACGTTGTCGTGGAAACTTCTAACCACATTGATGAGACACATAAATAAAGAGAGAACGTTCCGTCTTCTATAATATATATTAATCTGAAGGCATACAAGCAATATGTGTTGGAAGTTCTAATTCATGAGCAGGTCACAGAAATGAAGGAAAACACACACACACACACTATTTAGAAAAGGGGGGGCACAACCGGCATGAGGATGGGGGGGGGGGGGGGGGGGGGGGGATCTTTATAGTATGTTCCAACAGTTTCAACAGGAGTGGTTGTTTTATGCTTGGTCCTAGTGCTTAACCCCAAAATGTTAGTTTCATATCTGCAAAATTGAATTAAAACTATTTGGGGTTTGCTTGTAGATGTGGTGGCCATTTACATTTAAAGTGACTCTAAACTTTAACCAGTTAAAGAGCGGTCCAGTGGTTTGTGGAATATTTTTCTAAGATGCAAAAACAATTAAAAAACAAGTTAGCCCAGCACATGACTGTAACTTTGGTTTTCATATAATCTCCATAAGTTTCAACAGTGAAAGCAAAGTTGTTCTATTATCCTGCAAAGTGCAATTCATTTAATTTCAAGGATTTTTTTTTTGCCACACAAGCCTTTCGTGTTGTACTTGTCAGCTTAAAGCTCAGACAACCTGATGTTACCTCCTAGATGAGTTTGTCTGAACACATTTCAGAACCAAATTGTCCAAAAATAATTATAATGGTGCAAAAAGACATGGATTTAGTGATAAAGAGAAGCAGGTTCCTGTGGGTTGCACTGCGACATTCTCAATGGTCCTACAAATGCCAAACTGTGTAGTCAGATTCAAGAGCTGGTATTCCAGATTTAGCCGGGAGAATGGCCTCAGCACAGCGAACAAAGGCAGAGAAGTGCAAGGACACAGCCAGTATTCATACAGGCTAATGGATGGAGGGGGCAGCCAGCTCAGTCGGCCAACTTCCTCTTTGTCTCTCCCTGTAACATTTACAGCTGCTGCCCTCCTGCTCTGTTCTGGTCCACTCTGGCCTGCATCGGTTCCTCCATGTGAGAGTCCAAATAATCTGTGGTTTTGGCAGAAACAGGAGACTAGGAAACACAAAGAGTGGGAAGTAGTCTGGCATTTTAAACCATTTCTAGTACACAGCCAGAGTGCAAAGAGGTTAAGTTTATAATCTGAGTGTGATAACTTCAATATTTAGATCATTTGAACACAATTAGAATGGCCATTCAAGGAAATTAAAGTGTTCATTCACTGAAAAAACAACAACATTTAAACCTTTTTTTGACACTATTTAAATAAGTTACATTTACAATAATCCTCCAAGGAGGCCCTGCTGAATTTCTATTCATTAAATGGATTTTCATGGAACTCGCAGAAGGTCTTTATAGTATGGACATCTACAAGTAGTCATTCACAATCAAGATGATCTTCACAGCTGATCAGTCAAGTTGAGCTCAAATCTAGTGCTGTGATGGTTTAAAGTTATTTCTAACTCGTTCTCTGAGCGCTGGCTGGTAGGATGAGAGCTTTGGCATCAATGGTCAGCTTCAGCTGTTACAACATGATAAACGGCCACACTTGTATAGCCCCCTTCAGAGTCAGAGGACTCCAAGGTGTTATACACTACAGTACATCATTCATCCATTCACACACTGATGGTGATGAGCTACAATGCAGCCACAGCTGCCCTGGGGCGCACTGACAGAGGCGAGGCTGCTGAGCACAGGCCCCACCTGTCTATCCGACCACCGCCAGCAGACAAGGTGTCCAAGAACGCAACAGCAGAGTTCTCTGTCCGGGGCCGGGATCAAACCTGCAATCCTGCAATTACTGGACAACCCGCTCTACCTCCTGAGCTACTGCCGCCCACAACATCTCAGGAACCACTGGATGAAGTTTAATGAGAATATCAGAAAGTAATGCCTGGACGCTCGTCTACAAGTGACCATCTTTTAAGGGTCAAGACCATTAAAGATGGCCCCCAGTCAGCAATAGAAAACACAAAAATGACTCAAACTCAACAAGAGATCAAATGTGGTGTGTTGGCAGCAGAGATCTGGTCCATAACTTGTTACGTCATTTCTCTAGTTTAAAACTCTGATGTGAAAATTGGGGACGACATGCATTCCACCAGTGTGTTCAACTGCTTGTTATCAAGAGTTGATCTTCTTCCCCCCCCCCCCCCCCCCCCCCCTCAAAACATGCAAGTTCTTCATTTTTTGCACAGGAAAAGGGCAGGAAACTGAGAAATGATCATTTCAGTACCCAACAGATGTCACTTGCAGCTGCTAATTGTTCACAGAACAACTGAACAAGTTGGAGAAGAAGAGCATTAGAGGGCTTTACCTGGTGAGCGAGTGCTAGCTCGACTTAGCGAGCGCTCTCTGGACTTGTAGGGATACCTTAACGTGGTATCTAACGACTTGAAGCTCTCCTTCAGAGAATGTGACTGATAGTACTCCACCAGCTCCTGTTGCACACAAGAATGCACCAAACATGATGAGTCTGCCTTTAAAATGGAATCTCACAGCAGCCAATTAAGTTTCTGTCTCACCAGAAGACTCTCAAACTTCTTTGCTTCCGTAATATGAATCCAGCTGTCCTTTTCCACAACTTTGATGTGTTTTACCTCATCATTAAATCTGTAAAGAAAAGGTTGTTAGTGAATTCTACTCAAACTGTTGCTGATGTTGGGAATTTAGAGTAATGTGTCGCATAAGATTTCTGTTCATAGTTAAAAACCAGACTAAAATAAAGCCCTTTTAAAAAGTTAAAGCTGTCAGATTTGTTTAATTTGCTAAAAAAAAAAATAAAACATATGGGCCCCTATAGAGCTTTTGCACCTGTGTGAAAGCTTTGAATGCAAATGTACAAATGCAATCGTCCTCCCAATTCATCACAGTATGGCAGCTCCGGTAAGAACTCCAACATTATTTATCTTTGGGGTTCATGAGGAGGCACAAAAAAAGTAAAAGCAATTACTAAACGGTAATTAGCTGGAGCTAAAAGACGCTCTGAAAAAGCTGACGGGGACTTCCCGTGACAGTTTTAACTACCTCCCATGAGACTTAAACAACAACAAAGCTCCCGGTGACATTGTCCCGTCCGGTAAAAACGTGAAAGACTCACTTGATGCTGATGGCGTAGCGCTCCGCTTCAGCCGTCCTCTCCCTGATAAGGTACGTCCCGCTGCAATGGGATTTTAAAAGGTTGTCTGCCTGCTGTCGCTCCATGTTCCCAGCAAACCTACAGAGAAATAAAGAATTAAAGCTTTGACCTCGGAGAACCCGACGGCACGGCTAAGGGCTTCTGTAAATACTCAACATAAAACGGCCGTGTTGTAATTAATCTTTTCTCGGAGGGTTGGCACGCTTTAAATTGAACCAGTGCATTAAGTTAAGAGACGAGATCTTTACCGCTAACAACACTGAACCAATTACAGCAGAGTAACCTTGGGTTAATGGCGGCGCTGCACACAGACAACGTGCAGAGCCATCAAATCCACCAGACTCAGAATCTAAAGCCTTACCAAGGATATCCAAAGTAGTCGGCCTCTCTGGAGGACTGCCGGCTGGATAACAACGGGAAGGGCTGCAACGAAATAAAGGTTTAAAAAAAATCAACACCGTGGCCTCAAAAAGTCTCGTGTGAGGATGGTTTTGTGTCACACATGCAGTAAAACGGTCTTCATGTGCTCTGACATCACTCGTGCTTTAATGATGAAGCTCCTGTTGTGTTTGTACCTTTGGGTCCAAGCAAGGCTTTACACAGGAGCTGGGAAAGAAGCCGCTTTTTGGTGTCTGCATCAGTTTCCCCTGCAGGACAAAGACAGGAGAAGTTTATAACTAGTACCTGAAATGTGCTCATAAAAGACATTTGTGAAGAGATAAAGGGACAGAAGATGTGTGCAATTAGGACGACTGATTTTAGAACAATAACTCAAAAGAAAACACTGAACATGTTTGACACCATCTAAAAGTCTGGCGCTGTGATGCCCCCTAGTGGTAAACATTAATATAACATTGCAATGCTCAGAAAAGAGAAAAAAAAATCTGATTATTTGTTATTGGTAAACAACACATTATGCGATGAATCTAATAAACATTTAAAACCAAACTGCAGTCAATAAAGTCCAGAGGTCACCTGCAGGTCAACCACTTGGTGGTGCACATTTTACATTTCCTGTTTAAAGCTAAACTGAATTTACTCACAGTAGTGTTGTTTTATAATTATTATCATTACCTTTTATAACCACTATTGGCCCAAATGACTTCAAATAAAGGTTTTTGGGTGAAACATGAAAGGGTTAAGGGTCAGAGCTTTTCTTCCTGATGACTGAGTCTGCTCCTCCTTCTGCCTGAAGGACAGAGGGTGAATATCTGCGTCTGCTGGTGTGAGTGTCCTCTAGAAAAGAGACGCTGCTGTTTTTGAGCAGCTTTAAAGCTACAATGGCAAATCTGCAGAACAAATTAGCATAAAACCTTTTCTTTCATGCCCATTAACATTCTAACATAGAACAGCTATAAATGTAATGCGAAGATTAAAAAAAATAATAATAGAAATGTTTCTCTTTGTCTAAAAACATCAGCCAATAACAAACACGGCTCCAAAGCCAACCACTGAACAATCTGGTTGTCGGTCTCGCCACACCGCTACACTTCCCTGGGTCCTCCACTCATTACACCCTCGCGTGTTCATCAGAAGAACACCGCAGGTGTGAGAGGTTCTCCGCTCAATAACGTCAGAGAAGGAGAAACAGCCGGCTGCTACCACTTCAACTTTAGGACCAACTAGCAGATTCCCAAAGAGAAAAACACCAACTGAAGTCACGGACAACAATAGATGTAGAAAACGGCGCCCGGTGTTTAGCGCTCTCAGTTCCTCTGGCAATGCGCGATCCCATATCGGGGGGCGTGGCCTAGGGACGATGGCGGACGGGAGGGATGAGAGGTCTGTGACCATGTCTTTTTAAAGCTAGCTTGTTCTGTAGGCTCGGTAAAGCAGCTTCAACCACTCACTGCAGCCCCAGATCAAACACGTTCCACCACACACACCACTAAAAAACACATCTGGTGGTGAGCATTCCCATTACCTAGGAAAGGTCAGAGGTCAAGAGGGGAAGAATGTTTACCCTTTGGAGCAGCTCTGTATTACATCCACTTGAACAGATTGGCTACTAATAATAAGAGTCCCTCCCCAAAACCAGGAAGACATCCATCAGGATTGCTCATCGGCATCAGACAGAAGGCGCCTGAAGCGATCGATTCAGAGCGCTGCGTGTCCTCTGACATCACACGGGGAGATTAAACCGCCGTTCTGTCGAGGGATAACCGACCGTAATAGCCAAGATAAATTCACAGCATTAGCAAGTCGCCTCGAGTCACTCTTAGAAAAGCTCATCCAATATTAGAGTATAAATGTCAATGATTCAGGAGGCACAGTGAAAGACCCCACAGCGGGTGGTGGTGTCTGCGCTTCCATCATGCGCTCTGATCATCGGTAGCCAAGGCCTCCAGAGGTCTGTAGGTACCACGCTTTATTAAGAAACACCATCTGTGGTGAAGTTTGCAGCTTGCTCCAAGGAATTACAGACATTCTTGACATTTTAATAATCTGATTTTACTTCACTACACTTTGATTTATTCCACTGAAACCGACGAGCAAACGATTCCTTGTTTGTGATTAAAGCTAGCTCAGTTTAAACATAGACAGAAGGTGAGCCTGATTCTGTTCAAAGGTCAAACATTACCTGTATTTTTACCCAGGAGTCTCAACCAAATTTTTCACTTAACTTCTCCCTTCCTGACACTGTTTGTATCCTGTTCCCTCAGACAAGCTGCAGAGCACACCAAGTCTGAGAGCCAGGGGACTACAATGTCTGGGAGTGACTACGAACTGAATAACTAATGGTGGAATGGAAAGTAAATATTAAAGAAAGATGGAAGAAAAACATTTAAATTTTATTAGGCCATGGAAAAAACATCTAGGAGCAAATTTAGGGAACATCGAGCCCAATCATGCACAAAATGGCTTTTTTGGAGACTTAAATTAAAGTTAAAGTCCCATTAGTTGTCACACACACTGATGTGTGTGCGAAATTTGTTCTCTGCATTTGACTCATCGCCTGGGGGAGCAGTGAGCTGCAGACACAGCCGCGCTCGGGAACTATTTGGTGGTTGGGTATTAAAATTAAATTATTATTTTTTAAAATTGGGTATTTTAATCCACAAAAACACTGGGTAAAGGTATTAGAACGCAGTATTCAAGAGATGTTATAGTTTGATCACGTTTTTCGCACAATAAATTCTAGTTTAATCTTTACCGTATCTCATGTTTTAAAACAAGTTTGGGTTTTACAAAGATTGTGCACGCTAACAACTTCCTGGAGTCTCTGCTGGCTGCTTGGCACCAAAACAAGTTCTCAGGAATAAACAAATCAGCTAAAATTTGTTAATTAGCTCAAGTAGAGTTGTTGGTTGGATTCTTGTGTCTTTGCACAGATATCATTTACATCGTAGACAACATTTCGATGTCCCGAGCATTACCTCCCACCACGGTGTATCTGGGTCTCCCTTTAGCAGCTCTATGAAGTCTCCTGTTTGGAAGCAGAGAGGTGTTTTCCCTGCAGGTGCTGGTGTGCCGTGGTAGTTCCTCACCGCCACCATCTTTGGACCTGGAAACACTTCGTTTGTTAGAGAAGCGTGACTCTGAATTTGTTGTGCTCAGTTTCTGCATAATGCAGGTTGGTTTGTTTTTTGTTGTGAAAAACACCTGAAGGGTTAAAATATAAAAATAAAATAAATAAACTATAAAACTAAGTTATTAAATGTTTGTCAACTGTTGTTCATATAAGCTACATCACGTTTTTCTTATTTTAGAACAGTTATTCTACTTCACAGCTCATCATACTAAAGCTGATCTCTCGTATCTGTCCACTAGATGGCAGCAGAGAGCTGTGCTGTCCTTGAGCATCTGATGCCAAAACTAAGTAGAAAAATCGGGCATCATGTGGAAGTTTAAGTGCTCTCACCAGGTGATAGGCCAGGCTCCTGCAAAACAAACAAAATGCATCATCATGATTATAAAAAAGCTCAAACATTAGAGTAATTTTACAAAATGCATTAAGTTAAAAAAGACGAGATTAAATGGCTTACCATGTCAAGAGGATCTGAAACAAAAAAACAAAAAGAAGAAATTTAAGCTCAACTCAGACAAAAAAAATAACGAACTCATTTCTAAATATAAATGTTTTGCTTAATTTTTTCCTCAAATTCGCTCCCTTATGAGTGCTTCGAGCTAATGGTAAAGATTACTGAACACTAAAGAGTCCAACCTGAAGATTATGACCACTTTCTTGTACAAGTACATTAATCTAATGATGACTCATTACATTTAGTTTAATAAGAGACTTCAGCTTTGTATCAAAGACAAGTTTTTATTTCTAGTTGATTAGAATAAAAGGTCATATCCTCCACAGAAGGTCTTGTTTAGCTGTTTACACTGCTTTGTCATAGAAGGGTTGAACTGCTCGTCTCTCAGCATTGCAAGCTAATATTTACCAAAGGTTTTGTTTTTGTGGAGGACTTTGCCTGACTGCTGGATAAACCTTTATCTAGCACGCCAACCTCTTGGTTGTACATTTTCTAGTCTTAGTTGATAATTCTATCTAAGAATCTCTCACAATGGGCCAAAGGTTCACAACAGAAAGTTACTGTGTAAACGATGTGCAGCCTACTGGAGCAAATAATCCCAGCTGGACTTCCAGGAGAAAACACATCCCTGTAGGGGACGAAACAAGTCCCATGGCTTCTCCTGACCCATCACTTCCGTTTTCTTTTGTTCCTAATCCAGTTACATAAATATTTAAACCACTCCGATTCTGTCATGCACCAAGCAGGAGTTTTTGCTACGGCAGCAACGTCAGTTTATAGTAGCCATTGTTATTATTGTTGTCCAAGCCATCGCTGTTGTGGCTGCATGTTTTTGTCTAAATGTGGCCTAACTGTACACCTGAACACCCCAAACGTTTACGAGACAAACTCGTTTAACAAAGACAACACCTACTGATTTTACAGATGGTGATCACTTCCAGACACTCTTTGTGAGCTCCTGTTCCGCAGCGAGAGCAGTAGTAGCCCTGATAGAATATGCCCCTTGGGGAGAGAAAACACACACACACACACACACACACACACACACACACACACACACACACACACACACACACACACACACACGAGTAATGCAAACAGGAAGCGTCTGAGACACACATTAACCTTCTGTAAGGACAGAACACAAATGGGACCTAATGCTTCTTCCACTCTGCAGAACCTTTTCATCATTTCCTGCTGTGTAATTCCTCCAAATCGCAAAGCAGACCCAACTCGTTTAGGCCCGTGTGGTCTGGAGGTGTGTTTGTTGTGGGCATTTGGAAACGCGCCGGCAGAGCACGCTGCCACATGGAGTAGTGAGGCTCATGAATCACGCAGGGATCCACCAGGGGATGCAGCACTAATTAGCATCCAGATCGTTGGTCCCTGCCTCCACCAGCTCTGTAAATTTGGGTCAGCAGCGCCGCGAAATGTGCGGGTCAGTACACCAGAGTGGGAGCTGAGCTGGCTTACTGAGATGGAAGTAGAAGTGTTGATGTGTGACAGCGGTGCGTTTGGTACCTGCTGTCAGAGCGCCACCAAAATCTGATGAGGTTCAATGTTTTGACCCTTTTAGGTGAAACAAAGGAGTTGTTTATTAATTTCACTTTGCTTTCTTCTCTTTTCTATTCCTCACATTTCTTAATCACAATTTCTTACTTCAGAATTTTTTTTAATATTTTTAATCTTTTTTTTATCATTTTAATTTTTGTTCTTGTGAAGCGCCTCATTATTTTTATCTTGAGATGCTACATAAAAGATAATCCCTTCTTCTAATAAAGTAGATGGATCATGTGTGAGTTTTATAAATCTTTCAGTTTTTTTGTTTTTAATTTGACAACAAATTAGAAAAAATGCACTTATTACAGTGCCTTGATGTTACATATGGTAAATAAATGGTCTGTATTTGATAAAGCGCCTTCTAGAGTCCAAGGTGCAATCAGTCATCCACCCATTCACACCCTGGTGGTGATGAGCTATGATGTAGCCACAGTTTCCCTGGGGAGCACCAACACAGGTGAGGCTCATGAACACTGGCACCGCGGGTGCCTCCGACCACCACCAGCAGGCAACGTGGCTAAACTGCCTTGCCCAAGGACACAACAGTGACAGACTGAGCAGAGCTCAAACCTGCAACCCTTTGATTAGGTGGACTCCTAGCTCCTCTGTCACCATCACCCCATAACAACAAATACAGCTCTTGCTTATTTTAAACCCATTATGAGATGATTGTACAGATGTGAACTTTGACCTTTAAGGCCAGCCAGATCAAAACTACATATGCAAGCAGCAACGTTGCCATAACATTATTGAGTGTAACAACTCAAATTTCTTCATTTAATGACTTGTTGTTTCAGATCCTCCAGAAAATCAATAAAAAGTTTTAAAACAACCTTTAAAAAACTGTAGGCAAAAGCCATTTAACATTTAAATGTCAGTACTTTTGCCTAAAATAAACTAATAAGGTATCATCTGCTTTAAAAAATAAATTATAAAAACATAACCTAAAGAATATAATTACAACTTAAAGAACATGTTTGACAATAAACCTGTTTCTAAATCTGATCTTAAAAACAAACAAACAAAACAAAACAGTAACTGCATTCTGCCTCTAAATCTTTTATTAAAGGGTAATTCTACATCCAGCTGCTTCTTTCTTTCAGCACAAACGTACAAATCTGTTAACTGGATTTGGTACAGAGGCAGCACATTTACACACACCATAAGGAATTAAAACTTCATATCTCAGTAGCTTTAAGGCTGCTGTGTAGCTGTTAGTCACCACTGGATGGAGCATGATTCCTCGTGTCCGGTCCTGGTGCAAAGCATGCTGGATGCATGTTCCTCTCAGAGTCTGTTCTACATGAAGTTTTCCTGACCACATATTGTAAAAAGAAGTGGGAAAACCATCTATGTGGGCTCCTCTGCAAGAGCTAAAGGCTGTGGGAAGTCTGAAAGAAGCAGCTTTATTCCAAAAAGTTGAGGAGTCTGTTCACATCGTTACCTTAGCAGCATCTTGCAAGCTCGACAGTTGGTGTTCTTATCAAACGTGTGCATTTGGAAGTTGTGCTGATTAGCGGTGGCTCGCTCCGGCTTGATGTTGGACCTAGAAGAGTGAAAGGTTCCTTGTAAAAGAGCAGATATTTGGAATGATATCAAACGGGAATCTTATAGGGATCTCACTGGACTGTGGGTGACAATGACACGACCGTGCTCTCATACCGCCGGGAACACGTTTGAGAAATGGCTACCTGGTTCTGGAACCCATCTGGAATGGTTCCCAATCTCATTGCTGTTGGGTAAAATGTGAATGATTTACAAGAAAACTTGGGGAGGGGTTGCTGACTGGGAATGCACCGACAACTAATTTTGCCAAACCCAGAACGAGTACCTACAGTACATAACCAGTAAAGGCCGTTGAACTAATTCAAGGTTTGATTCAACAGAAAGCAGGCAAAAGACACATAAAAGCCAATTTAGTAACTCACTTGCTGAAACATTACATATTTTTTTCCAGTCAAAGGGCATGGCTTTGTTTTGGTGAGAAACCTATTCAAAGACTTTACCAAAGAAAACTTTCCTTTTAAAAACCAAAGTCATCAGTGGCGTCTGGAACCTTTCTCGGTGAAAGCGGTTATGGCAAATCTACAAACAAGCTAGGTTTTGAATGCAAACAGTCACGGAGCACTCATCCCTCCCCTAGGGTGTCTTCTCTGCATCCACCGCAACCAGAAACCTGCATTGCCAGAGGAAACGAGATGGTGCTAAACACCAGTAGCTGTTTTCTAGGTCCAAACATCTTTTGTTGTCCCTTGAATTCAAATGGTGTTTTTCTTTTTGGGCCTCTGGTAGTTTGTCCTAAAGTTGAAGTGGTAGCAGATGTTTCTCCTTTCCTGGATTTGTCCGTTGAAATGTACATTCAAGCAGTTGTAAACAAAATAGACCAGAGTGAAATCCTTTTATCGTTCAATCAACTGCTTTGGCTTCAGTGTTATAGTTCATCACTCAGTTCTTGTTTCCACTGTTCCACAGAATTCCAGTTTCCTCTCTACACTCTACTGGTATTATTTATAACAGCTTACTACAGCTTACGTTGTCCTTTTAAGACCCCACATGTATGAACGCCTTTCATGGCTTTCCTTAAAAGCTAGGCATCAAATTTATTGGTTGTTATTTATTTTCAAATGCATTTGTTTAGAATTTCTATCCTATTTGAAAATACTGTTACTACTAGGGATGTTCCGATCACATTTTTTGGCTCCCGATCCGATTCCGAGTCATTTGATTTTGAGTATCTGCCGATACCGAGTCCCGATCCGATACTTCAGCAATACAATAAAATAGCAAGAAAAAAGGGAGACTGCATCCAAATTGACCTGTTAAGTTATTATTATTATTATTATTATTTATATGACGGCATCCAACATGATACCATAAAAAGTTTTTCTTTGTTTTTCAGCATAGCTTCCAGTGTCGGCTGGATCCATGTTTTGATCTGCGTTGCCGCGGTGAACTCGGAATATTGAGCTGAATGTTTGCTCTTGAGATGGCGGATCAGGTTCGTGGTGTTAAAAGCAGCTCTGTCTTTTCCACCACGTGAAACACTCAGTTTGCACACGTTGCAAGTGGCTGTTGGACAGCATTCGGTCTCCAGTTTAAAATGATTCCAAACCGCTGACATTTTTTGCCCTCCTGGAGCGAGACGAGCATTAACCTGCTAGCTAACTGCGACCTGAATTCCGCGGTCCACTTTAAAACGTGTGGCATTACGGCTGCTGTATGGTGTTGTCATGTCGTTATTGAGGAAGTGAAACTTGGTACAAAATTAAGCCATTGTTATTCAATTTGAAACTCAAGATTGATAAAAAATGTCATGCTTGTTGTTTTATAAGGTTAAATCCGATCTTTAACATCCGATTCCGATCTTTTTAAACTCACATGATCGGGCCCGATTTCCGATCACGTGATCGGATCGGAGCATCCCTAGTTACTACCCATTGACTCTCAGTACCATACTCGTTTTAATGAGCAGCTTTTGTTTTGTTATTCCAGGTTTAAAAGGTTACGCAGACTTCACCTTTGTCTAATTAACATGAACATCCTCCATTTTACATTTTATGCAGCAATTAAGCAAACATGCTTATGTGTGTTTGTGCATTTATGTGTATAAATGGCAAACTAGTTTATGTCCATACCACAATGTTTTTTTTTATTTGTTGTTTTAATTTGTGATGATGTTTTAGACTTGTTTTTGTTTTCAGCCATCTTTCTTTTGTTGGCTATAATGTAGGTGGAGCCACTCAAAAACGAGATGGCTCATCTCAGGTGGTTTTATCCTCCTTAAATTTAGGTTAATAAATATTACTGAGCGGAGAACCGCTGACACCAGTGGTGTTCTGCTGCTCAATACGTGAGTGCATAATGAATGGGGGAACCAGGGAAGCATCCAATAGTTGTTTTCGGTCTGAAACGTGTCATTGGTGGAGATTTTTTAGACCTTTTTTGACTTTTTTTTCTTTCTTTTGATCTCCACAAAATATGTATACTGTGTTAGAACATTGTTAAGAGGCATGAAAAAATGTTTTCAGTTAATTTGTTTTCTAAATTTGCAATTCCAGCTTTGAGTTTTTAGTGTGACGAAATTCATACTTTTGAGTTCGGAAGTGTGCCACGAACGTTGTCAGAAGATACAATTCGGACACTTTGTGAATATATTTTAGCAAAAGAGAACAATTCACAAAAAACTTGCATATCTTCACTTAGTTTTTTAAATTAAAAAGTAAAATAATTTCAGTCATTCTCTAACTGCTTTTCCTCACTCAACTCCAGCCTCCATCGGGTTGAGGGGCAGCCCTGGACATGCTTTTATTTTAAATAAATAAATAGAAAAAATATACCACCAACAGTCACCGTTCAGTGAGATGCTGCCTTTAGGCGTAATAGAATACATGTATCTGTTTTTTTTAATAACTTTTTAACTGTAATTACAATCTCTTCTCTGCCCCTTAATAAACCTCCGTGTTATCATACTCACATAGCCATTTCAAACTGCTCCATCCACTTCCTCTTCGTTTCCTCGGTTTTACAGAAGAACTGGAAGCCCTGCTTCCCTTGCAGGTGGATCAGGTAGAAACCATAAGACCACTAGTGGAGAACAAAAGTGAGCATAGAAGAGATGGTGGGAGGGATGTGTGGATGGCAGACAGAGATACGAGCAGAGAAGCTTGAAACAACAGCACTTGTCTTTATGTACACATGTTGGCTTCTTGGAATATGATTGCCGCATGCGTTAGCAATGCAATCTGAGCAGACGCAGCAGAGCCAATCACAGAGCTGAGAGCTACACGACAGCCTGAAGAACACCACCTCAGTGAGAAGACGAGTTAGGTAAAGGGGTCACTGGAGCTTACCATTTTTCCGCTTGACTGGTAGGCATGCAAAAAAAAAGACACCAGAGAGAGACCCCGTTACACATGCAAACGTCAACACACATGCAAATGAACAAATAAAAACAAAAAGCCAAGTTAGACCGGTGGCACGATGCACTGCACTGGTTTAATGAATCCTAAATGACCTTCATTACATTTACACGCTCTCTCAAGCACGGGCGAGCACAATGCACGTTCGGCACGTTGGCGCATAAGTTCGGAATCTGAAATTACCATCAACAAGCTCCTTCAGCTCAAGGGCAACATTTGTAAAGATTACACAGCCTCTTTCATCAGGTACAATAGCAACGCTCCCTTCACGGAGATGGAACGAAGGGCGTAACAGTTCCAGTCGCTTGCACGTGGCGGTTTGTTTGCTCACCTTCTTCATGTCTCGGTTATTCATGGGGTCGTCTGACATTTTGTACGACTGTAGCTCAATAATTTCTTTCAGCTCATAGTTATAGCCCTTCCTCTTGCACACGATGACCACTTTGTCAAACAGGAAGATATACCTGAGGACACAGAACACATTCAGATGTGATGAGGTGCTGCAGAGTTTGGCTCTTCTCTGCTAGATTAGAACTCACCGATCTTGTTTTGTTCTGTTGACGTTGGACGACACCTTCAGCTCCCCGTCTATCTTTGGCCTGCCGTACTCCTCAAGTTTCACCTGCTGCTTGGGTCATAAAGGCACACAGGGAGTCAATCAGCTGCCTCCTGCAGCTTCATCACTCACAAACAACAGTCAGCTAATGGCTAGTTTGAGCCACTGTCCACAGCTCAGAAGCTGTGACTCAACCACCAGGCACTCGCTGGTGATTTCCCCTCATAGTCCCAGTTACAAGAAGGTGACCTGGTCTCTTTATTCCAGCTGAAATAGCCTGGTGGAGCTCAGAGTTGATCTGCTATTCTTCTTCATCCAAAAGGGACCAGTTTAGATGGTTTGAGTATCTGACTAGGATGCTTGGTGGATCCCTTCCTCTGGATGTTTTACAGGCAAATCTTGGAGGGAGACTCCAAGGCAGACGCAGAACTTGATGGTAAGACTAGACACATTCTCTGGCCTGGAAACACCTCTGGACAACCTCACCAGTATCACTGGAGAGACGTATATCTGGGTCTCCCTTCTGGACCAGTTCTCTCTATGACCCAACCTTGGAAAACTGGGTAACAGGAGATGGATGTGTGCGTGTGTGTGCGTGTGTGTGCGTGCGTGTGTGTGTGTGTGTGTGTGTGTGTGTGTGTGTGTGTGTGTGTGTGTGTGTGTAACAGTGAATGGATGGACAGATGGATGGATGTGTGTGTGTGTGTGCGTGTGTGTGTGTGTGTGTGTGTGTGTGTGTGTGTGTGTAACAGTGAATGGATGGATAGAATGGATGGACAGATGGATGGATGTGTGTGTGTGTGTGTGTGTGTGTGTGTGTGTGTGTGTGTGTGTGTGTGTGTGTGTGTGTGTGTGTGTGTAACAGTGAATGGATGGACAGATGGATGGATGTGTGTGTGTGTGTGTGTGTGTGTGTGTGTGTGTGTGTGTGTGTGTGTGTGTGTGTGTGTGTGTGTAACAGTGAATGGATGGACAGATGGATGGATGTGTGTGTGTGTGTGTGTGTGTGTGTGTGTGTGTGTGTGTGTGTGTAACAGTGAATGGATGGATAGAATGGTGGATAGATGGATGGATGGATGGATGGATGGATGGAAGGGTGGGTTGGTGTATGGAACAGTGGAATAGTGGATGGATGGATTGATGGATGGATGTGTGTGTGTGTGTGTGTGTGTGTGTGTGTGTGTGTGTGTGTGTGTGTGTGTGTGTGTGTGTGTAACAGTGAATGGATGGATAGAATGGTGGATAGATGGATGGATGGATGGAAGGGTGGGTTGGTGTATGGAACAGTGGAATAGTGGATGGATGGATTGATGGATAATCATGTAATTTGACACTAATAGTGTAAATATTCATAACATTGTGACATTTAGGAAATCTGAGTCATTGTAAAACCACAGCAGACTAGCTGTTAGCTCATCAGTCATGTAGAGCATACTCCTCCACACTAGGACCAATCAGGACGCTCTATACAACAACACTCACTCATATCTTTTACATAGAAATCAACTTCAGATTGCCTTGACACGGAGCCGTTTCTCCACGACTGGCTCTGTTGCTTCACAACAGCTGGTTCCTGCTTTCATACTTCACATGAGTGATAGGAAAGTTCTCAAACACCATGTGAACTACCAGCAGACAAAAGCATTTCAGTTCCAAAATCATCTCCAGAAATACGGTCAAATGATTTTCATAAAAGTACATTTTCAATATCTTTAGTTGCACGTTTCCAACAGAAAACAGAGAAGCTGAGAACACATACCAGATTTTCTATTGAACTTTGGAATTCGCTGATTTTTTTCAGCGTCTCGTTGTCCCTCTTCACTTCGTTGATGTACATGGCCAGGTCCTAGAAGAGTAGGGAAACATTCAGTCTCCAACGACTGTGGAGGTATTACATAATGTGTTTGATCGTTTTTATGTAAAAACACATAAAACACACCTGCATAGCCTCCAGAGCCTCCTTAAGTTGCTGCCTCTCAGGCCGATCTGCTGAGTGACCTAAAAGTTCCTGTAAAATACAAAACTGCTCAAAAGCTCTATCAAATATACTCTGAGACGTAACATATTGAAGAATGTGTTTGCAGTATGTGGAGGCAGAGCGATGGTTGCTCTTTACTGAGATTACAGACGTGACACTGATGTGAGGGAGAACGAGTGGCTCGTAAACACCCCCAGTGTGAAAGACGGAGTGAAGCTGGAGCTAGAACGTTTTATTGTAGAAATAAAATAATAGCATTTTTGGCTCATAATAAAAACCAAAATCACAAGTGTAGATAATAATCAGTAAACAGCAAAATAAAATAAAAAGAATCACAGTTAGATTACGCAAAAGCATCATTCAATATTTACCCACCAACTAGAAAGAAATTGGAAAGCTACAATTTCATGTGAAGCACTGTTTGACCCAGCTTGACCCAGCTGGGTAAATGTGACCTTTGCCACAAATTAGAGGACCTTCCGTGATGCTACACATGCATGTAAAAATGTGGACCTTTCAATCCAATAAAACTCCGGTTAGAACGAAGTCTGAAATAGATTATAGAGGACAAAAACCCAACAGCCATCTAGAAGTTAATCCTAAAAAGTTCAGGAACAGGAGAAGAAGATATCAAGATGATCCTAAAACGATGATTCCGAGGCCCCGCTGCACGCCGCAGTTCTCCTGAAACAGCTGCTGAAACAGGATGTGTTTAATCTGATTAGTGCACGCTTTGATGATTCGTTCAATTCCATCAAATCAGAAGTTTCACTGAAAATCTTCGTTTGTAAACAAGCACCAGACATTTAACTCGTTGATGTTAATTTGAACCCTGACTGTCTGAATTCATCCATTTATTTGTGTGTTACTCTTTGTTTCGGTCATCAGATGTAAATATTAACCAGTCCGATAACTATCAGTAACACCATAAAACATTCACATTTACAAAGAGCTGCTATGACCTTGGTCAAGTCTAAACATTTGATTTTTTACGTATTTTTTTAAATTATTTTTTACAAAAGAAAATGTAAAACTAAAAACATCCAAAGTGTTTCCGTGCCTTAACTCAGAAAAGACGTGTTTATCTGTGTCATTTATTAAACTGCATATTTTAATTATTCAGTTATGTTGGTTTATGTTTTCTTGCTAAATACACAATTTGACCTGATGAAGTTTGGTCTTTTTGAGTCATTAATATGGAATTCTGAAAAGTTAAATACCAACAGGGTTGTCCTCTGAAAAGTGGGAAAACTGATTTTATCGGGCACTAATTAAACACAGATGTCTGATTATCATCTTAATAAAATGTTATTCCAACATTTTTTATATCCATTCTTCACTGTCAACAATGAAGAGACTTAAATGATTGACCATTGTTTAGGTAGGCTGCAGGTTAGGTTGAGCTAAATAATAGAAAATAATGTTTTATCTATTGTTTTATGATTTTTAAGGTTCATTATAATAATACATATTAAGATTATTAAGAGATAAACAATCCATTCATGGCTCAAAGCAGAAGAACTGATCAAATATTCAAGAGCCAGTGGAAGGGTAAAGTTTGGGTAGAGAAAAAAAAATCTGAGATTCATCTAATAAATTTACATGGAAAATAATAAGATGTTCCTTAATGTTGGAAAGACTAAAATTTGTAGGAAACATTTGTAACTTTCCTATGATTTTTCTACTTAAAAAGCTATTGTAAATGTTGGGAGTCATAATATGCATGTCCCTGAATGCAAAGGTCAAGGGTCAAGGTCAAACGCTGATCTCTCTGTTTTGTTTCAATTTAATTGCATTTTAATAGAAATACTTAATTCATCAGGTACACCTCAGAAAATCCAAGTGTCATCGTGTTGGTCTTCTTTAATCACAAATAATGTTTTATTTTTCTGTGACTTGTAAATCAGTATAAATCGTTTTTTTCTGGTAAATATCAGACTTTACTTCAGAACAGTTGAACTTGTTTAGAATAGCTTTTTTCCCATATAAATTAATAAAAAATATGGAGCTGCAGGTAATGAACAAGAGTGTGATGAGCTGCTGAGCAGGTGATTCAGGTGTGTTGGAGTACAGAAACAACTAAAACATGCAGGATGGGGACTAAAGGACCAGGATCAGAGACTCCTGATACACACGTCTATAAAACACTGTTATGATTACACCGAGCAGACTCGGAGCAGATATAATAAGTAGCATGTGAAGAGGCAGCGTATGCTGCAGTAATGAATTCAGAAGTTTACGTTTTCTCACGGTGAAACTGGGACACTTGAGTTTTACCGACTTTGACTCCACTCAGACATCTGCTGCAGGCCTCTGCAGAGAAGTTTCAAACTTTTTGGAGCCGTGTTTGAAGCCTGCTGGGGTGAATGTCGAATCTGATTCATCATTTTAAAATAAATCCTGAAAATGTTTTCTGCAAGCAGCGTCCGAACATCCAAACCGCGCGTTAACGCAGGCGCCTACCTTCAGTAGTAGGTGATACTTCAGGACCCTCTGCATGGGAACCACCAGGAGATCCTGCAGCTTGAACTTCCCCTCCTGAACTTTCATCGTACATTCCTGTGGAACAATGACCCAGACAGCCGTTACAGGTTGCACAATGCAGACTGGTGTGCTATCCAACAACAATAACTCATTTACTGTTTAATAGTCCATCACCGGGTCTCTGCTGCCTGCCACACATTCACCAGGATTGTTTGTCCTATAAATGCACAAAACTCTGTTCATGTCTGAATCTGTGATACAATTACTCACCATGCTGACTCAAAGATTCCTCTGAATACTGAAAACATTCATGCATTGTCTTTATAAAAGGGCCTTTGTTGATATCATTCCTTCACATTCCCCAGCTGGGATTTTTTTCATTTCCACAGCTGCGCAGTTACAGCTTATCCCGTTTTTACCAACAAGGTCTTTAAAGAAACCGTAAGAAGCCGATTTAGTCGGTAGCAAAGCTTTTCTTTTTTGAGACGATCACAGCGCCAACTACCCAAGCTAAGATCACCTCATTATGTTGTCAATAGCCCCCAAAACCACTGATCCCGCTATTACATAGCAATTCAGCTTCCAGCTCAGCCTCCGATGGGAGACGCTGATCCCAGAGGATCCACAAACAACACGAATACAGAAGGAAGGAGGAGCGTCTGGCAGCAGAAATGGTTCTTTAAACTCCAAATGGTGATTTTCTTGTTGTTTTGTTCAAGAAAATTGTTTTTACTAAAGACTTATGAGAGTGGATGTAGAAAAAACAGTACACACTCAAGAAATTGTAATAAAAAGATTATGATAAGAAATCCATTTTCTCTTATACAATATAACAGTAATTAAGAAATGAATTGGTCATTGCCACCTGGTCCTCCACCAGAGGGCAGCAGACATCCATAAGACTAGATACAGCAGGTTTCTAATGAAAGTACCAACACTAATGCTAATAATAATACTAATATACATACTACATCGGAACACTTGAAGGTCTGAAGTTTATACAAGTTTGATGTGAATTTAGTAAACTCTAAATATTTATCTATCTATATTTATATCAATAAATGGGGGGTCATCAGTGACCAGCGCTCTTCAGACCAATGCCAGAAAGACGAACGAGATGGTCATAGACTTGTGGAGGAAGTCACCCCCTACAACAACGTTGAACATCCAGGGAAAAGACATCGACATAGTGGATTCTTACAAGTACGTCTGCTTTCTCACTCACTTTTGTACTCCTTTGCTATCTCTCTGAGCTGTAGTAACCCAGAAACCTCCAAACTGTGGGATCAATAAAGCCTTATCTTATTTTTAATATACCTACATGAGGTCAACAAGCTGTGACTGACTCCGAAAAAATGTCCATACATTTTTCCCTGGTCATTTTGCCATCAACCATCTTCAGAGAAGAATAAAGTTTTTACAGCAAACTTTAAAATCAATCTACATTTATGTGCACTTTTTTCAGAATAAAAGCGTTAATGTGCTCATAAAGTTGACATGGTAACAACTTTGCTTTGAACACGATTCACACTAAAATGAACGAATACAAGTTTGTTCTGTAGAACATTTTCTTCAGACGTGTGAGTTTTGGGTCTGGTCCAGAGCTTGAGTTGATCACGTGCATAACCTCTATACAGTCTAAAGAAACCAGCAGAACACAATCCTGCATCGGGGGATTTTACTCAGGATATCTTTCTAAAGCATGCTCTGAACATAACAGCAATAACAAGCTAATAACCCTAAAACAGTCTTTAAAAAATGAGGATGTTTGAATAAAAAGTTAAACATTATAATCTTACACCATCATCTTAATTACATTTTAATTACGACATGATTTCTTACATCATGTTACTTTCAAATATGAACAAAAACATTTGTTTTTCTTGTTTCAAGGGTTAAAAGATATAGAATTAGTAATAAATAAATACCGGAGTTTAAAGTTTTACCTCCACTTTAATCTTGACATCCTCTCGCATCATTATTAGCTCCTCCAGTGTCTTCTGGGCGTTCTCCATGTGGCAGCAGTACTGACCGTAGATCAGCAGTCTGGGATGGAGGAGAACACTTAGTCAGTCCTCATCTTCCTTTAGGAAGTGATTAATTGAAGCCAACACACACGTTTGTGTGTGTGTGTGTGTGTGTGTGTGTGTGTGTGTGTGTGTGTGTGTGTGTGTGTGTGTGTGTGTGTGTGTGTGTGTGTGTGTGTGTGTGAGAGAGAGATGTTTTTGTCAGTTCTGTTCATGTTAAACACAACAGTCACGCTGACTCACGCATAAATTATGCATTCACCTTTAACGAGGACTGAACAGTAAAGAGGTTCCTATCGATTCTCTTCGGCGTGTATAATTAATGAGGTGAAGCTTCTCCATCTCAAATGTGATTTTGTCATAAAAGTGGAGAAATCCTACAGTAATTTAGCCTGTTAATCAAACAAATTCCACTTCAGAGAGCTCAGATTGAAAAAGAGATAGCTTCCTCCAGGAGTCCCTCAGGCTCAATAAAACTCGTCATGAAGCTCAGAGTAGGCTTAATTAAAAAATAAGGTTTATTAAGAACTAATAAGGCTTTTTAAAAAACACAATATCATCATGCAAACAGATAAAAGGAAAAAGAGAGATCCCTGTCTGAGCTCACAATTATTAGTGAAGTGCTTAGTGGTTCCGATCCTTCAGGTGATGAGCTGCACATTTGTTTAAAGATTAATAACATAGTTTGAGAGGTCAGTTTAAGAGACATCGGGCACGGGGGGGGGGGGGGGGGGGGGGGATGAACGTGTGAACAAATGTGTTGTGATTAGAAATGCACCACAGGCTCATCCAAAGGCAGTATTTGTCAGGACGTGATGTTTTTGCCAATGAGCTGTAATCACAAAGCACTAATTAAAAAGACTGATTTCAGTTGCTAAGCAGACTTCTTGTTATCAGCCTGAGAGGGAAAAAAAATTATTTCAAGCTGTGGTATGAGAGCTGTGTTCATTAGATGCTACAATGGGACACTGGCACAGATCTGTGGGTTCAGCTGGGAGAGAGTTCAAAGTCATCTCGCCTGGAGGATGTCGCCACACGTGGCATGTATTCCTCTCAAAGTAGGACGTTGGGGCGCGCGCGCACACACACACACACACACACACACACACACACACACACACACACACCACCAGCAAACCCCCTACAGAGCTGGCACATCTCCTAATCTGAATCCTGGGCTGAGCTGGGAAGGACTGGCATCATCCTGAAGTTTAACCAAGCCCTTGAAAGATCGTACTGGGATCAGATCACAGGCATAACATTACATTTACACGGCAGAGGAATGGTGAAAAAAAGGCAGCTAAATTAGACACATTTCACATATGAATGTAAATAACTTAAGACTGATTTAGCTTATTCTCCTAAATCTAGAATGACAACATATGTTAAAGTTTAACAATTACCCTTTCAAAACCTGAAACGTAAAATACTAAAAAATCTAGATTTCAAAACTTAACTTATTTTCTATTGTTAAATAAAGAAATATTTATTAGTCTGTTTTGTTTTTTAATCATTAATGGACAAATACAATTGGCTCTTGCCACCTGTTGGTCTCCACCAGAGGGCAGCAGACGTGTACAGAACTGGTTAAAGCTGGTTTGTGAGGAAGGTACCAATCCTGATGCTCCATCTGAGCTTCGAGGATAATTTGTGACCACAGTCCTCAATAGGTTAATCCCAGATATTAATTAAACCCCATTATATAAACGTTTCCCAATTTATTTTTTACTAAATTTGTGTTTTTATGGAGTACATTATCAACTTGATAATTCATTGATTTTTAGCCAATGTTTGTACCAAAATAAGGAAAACACATAAAAATCCTGTTTTTAGTTATCACCTAATAAGGTTCATTTCACCCAAGCCCTGGTTAAAAATTTAGCGTAAAAAGATTGCACAGCTTGAACACTCCACTCCCCAAACCTTAAAGTGCAAACTTATGAATCTCTATTATTAATGCTAAAGCATGTCGTCACATAAATAATTCCACTCTTGAAATCTTTCCAAACCGTCGAGGTTGTACAACTCTGATTAAATAGACAGAGGTAGAACTCAAAGTTAAGATTTGACCCTAAAAGTCTGATGATCTCCAGAGAGTCGCAGGAGCCCAGGATGAGGTTTGGCGGACGCTCACCTCCCCACCCAAGCATTGGTCAAAGTCTGGCCTAACAAGGCCTCTGATTAAGGTCTTATCTACCCTTGAGGACAAGCCTCCCTCAGCTCCCTCTCCTCAGGGAGGACAGAGTGATTGAGATTAATGGTGGCCTTGATCAATTATAGGACAGCAGATGGACCATGCAGTGTCATGAAGATATGGCGTCACATACCATACACGCATATCAGAGAATAATGAGACATGAAGGTTTCTGTTAAGGAGCTGTTCTCTGTTGGGATTGTCCAAGGATAAAGAGATATAGATGCTCATGCAGGACTTGGTTAGATGGATAAATGATGGTACGAAAAGTGAAACAGAAAATTTTTGTAACTAACGGGTAGAGCAGACTTTTTGTTACCATGTAGTCTGCAAATAAAGTGGCAGCTGCCACTCTGTGCCAACCCCTGGAACAGCCCGTGTCAGTGAGAGCATGCAAACATGTTCATTTCTGCTCAACAGCGTTAATAAAGCATGAACACGAGACGCCATGGAGCTGATTACCATGCTCCGTTTCTATTGGTGCACAGACCTAATGAGAAAAGCCCACCACATGGGGACAAAAGGCTCTCCCAATGGCAACAACAGAGTCCACGAAAATAATTCAACTTAATTTGAGTGCTCATCCGGCTTGGTTCTAAAGAAGCCTGTTGCCACATCTGACCCATTTGTTGTCTTCACAGCTGCAGGCAACTGTGTACAAGCTCCTACAAACTCTCTGCATGCTTCTCTCTCAGCCCTAAATAGTTTGATTTCAATCTTTGCGTTTATGGAAAATTAGTTTTTAGAAGAGGAAATGTTGAAAACGAATTTTGTGACACCTGTTAAACTTGAGCTTTAGCTTCTATTTAGTTTTAAACAGGCAGAGTAACAAAGATGTAATGCAGACAGGAAAAGGCTTTGTGTGTTTCTTATCCAGCCAGTCAGTGGTCATTACAGACCGGCTTCTCTGACTAACACTAGAGATAACTGCTCTTCATTCCCGATGTTCTTGTTGCATTGCAGATTAACGTTTTGTAATCTGAAGGCTCTGCTGTAAATATAAGTAAAGTAGTAGGATGCTAATCTTGTTTTGAAGAAAGTTTTGTCAGTTTGTTTCTTCGTGCTCCAAAAAGAAACTCATCCAGCTTCCTACATTGTCTTTGTTAATTAATTTGAAGCAGCCAAAATTAAAGCCAGATAAATAAAAAAAATGGTAAAACATGGATTATCTGTTCAACTTTAGTTTTAAATTCACCTAGCAAATGTTCACAAGCATGCTTAGAAGTTCTACAGCAGTCCAGCAGGCAAAATGAGCCTGCATGGCTAGAGAGAGAAAGGAGAAGCAAAGCAGCAATATCTAAACAGCAGAAATGTTTGGTCTCCTTTGGGGTTTTGCAGAAGCTGCTAAAACTTCTATTCTTTGCTGGTGATATCACCCTGCTGTGCAGGCCTCTTTCATAATGAGGATGCTGCTGTGCATGTTATTTCACAGAAAACACAATTTTGGGTAACTGTGCCCTGGGCATTCACCCTCACCCTGACGGAGCGCAGCAAGCTGAGTCAAACGACGAAGGGGATCTCCCAGCAAAGCAGAAGTGACAGGATGTGGAGCCGGCTAATATTCTGTGACACATGGCATTGGGACCCCCTCACCTCCACTCAAGGAAAACCAGCAAACAGCAAATGAAGGAGAGCACAGAGCACAGATCCCCTCTAAAAAGGCTCGGAGTGCGATGATGATTAGGTGCCACATGGATGGCACCAGATTACTCCGGAAATGAGTTGGGGAATGTTGCAAATGAGTATATCAACAAGAGGGCATTTAGATGGTCATTTAGTTTATAGAGCTTCCTCTGAGTGCACTTTTCCATTCAGCCTGGGCCCCGGCTACTTAAGAACTGGGAAGATAAAACAGTGGCATTTTCAGCATGGCTTCCAGATCAGAGACAAACACACAAAAAGGGCTTTTCATCCTTTGCAACAACGTGAAAAAAATGATACAAGCACATTGTTGTAAAGGTCACAGCGACTTACAAGCACGGATGACCAAATTAATTATGCTGAGCTGGATCCTCAGGAAAACTGCTGAGATGCCTAAGGAGGACTCTGCTGTATGAGTCCAAATCCCCTGGTCACGGTTGTTTCTCGCAACTGAGACACAAGACGGCTGGATGGCTTGAAATGAGTAAGGTATACGTGTCAATCACCTGAAAGGCGGCGATGGACGGGGTCCACAAATCAAATGGATCGTTTCCTAAAATAACTGCGTCACATTTTAGAGAATGCCACCATAAAGGTGAACAGTAACAATGACTGGCGTGTCATCAGCAAATTTGTTTATGAATAGAAGGTAAATGTTAAGCTGTTTTTATATTTCCCTCAGATTTTGTTGGGTTGGACCAGCAATGTCTAAAGCATTAGTTAATTATAGAATCTGTGCAGCAAATAAATCAGATTTTTAGGATTTTTTCTTAGGCTACAAAACACTCAAACTTTAAATTCAAATGTCACGTTATCCTAAAACGAATAGAGAAGCCCATGCCCACGTGTCCGTCTCACTAAATGTCTATTAATAGGACTCCAGAACAATCCAATTTTATTTATAAGGCACTTTAAAGTAAAAGTCAAAGTGCTTCACAGCAACAGGCACTATTACAACAGTTATGTATCTTATACTGTACATAACTCAAAGCACAGCTTGTAACTAGGTAATATGTGACTCATCCCATACTGTTGCAAAGGTGTGGTCTCCTCAAAGTTTGGCTATTTTTGGAATACTTAGGAGCAACTAGTCGTCTGACCTGAGACAGAAAGAGTTGGCAGGAATAAAAACTATAGTGAGGCCTTTAAGGCTTTAAGAGAACCCTAAAACAAATTGTAAATTCAACCAGCATCCAGTGGAATCATTTAGGAGAGATAATTATGATTTGTTTTATAAATCCTGGTTAAATATTGAGCAGCAGCATTTTGTTGCTTCTGTAGCCGATCAATGAAAGATGCACTCATTACAATAAATGTACTGTTAAAGTAATCTCACCTGGTAGATATATGAAAGCATGGATTACTGAGTGAAACAGATGGGTAGAAAGAAAAGGTGGAGTTGTTGCGTCAATCAGGACTTCATGTATGCTGGTGTCTTGTTGACATGTGATGGTAGGACACGCTAACATCATGAACATACTTGCCGCAAAGCAGACATCACTAAAAGCCGGCAGATACCCAAGACAACAACGATGAAGAGAGAAAATGGCGCCACTGTTAAAACTTCTTTAATGTAACTCCTACCCAGTCTCCAAAAAGGAGTGATCCACATGTTCTTGCATGTAGCCTCTACTGTTGCTAATGCTACTATTGTATAGTACTTTCGTCATTAGTTTTGTTGCGTCATTCCCTGGGTGTATTTTCGTTGGCGGACCAGAGTTGTAGGTTTTCTGACACTGCTTGAAGACTAAATGACCTGTATTTGTATAGCGCCTGCTTAAGGTTCTACAACCCCCCCCAAGGTGCTTCACAACACAATCAGTAATTCACACATTCACACGCTGGTGGGGACGAGCTACGATGTTGCCACAGCTGCCACTGACAGTGGCGAGACCTGCCAAACACTGGCTCTACCGGTGCCTCCAGCCAGCACCAGCAGGCTGGTTGGAGCTGGAATCAAACCTGAAACCTTCCAATTACAACCCGCTCTACCTCCTGAGCTACTGCTGTTCCCACAAAGCTGCTCAGTATCGCTCAGGCTTTCACTGAGCTGGTCACACTAGAATGGCCACAGATCTGTAAATCACCCTCACATTCACTATTTTTCGCCACATTTGGTTCACAATGAGACATTTGTACAGGATGGCCATTAAATGCACAGTGTGTCCTGGGTTTGAAAAAACAAAGTGAGCAGTTCAGTCATATAAGGGGAGTATAGCCACTGCTCCTCCTCATAGAACTTGGGGTTGTTTTAGCATCTGACTGGAATACCTCCATCCAACCTGGGAATGCCTTAGGATTCTCTAGGAAAGACTGGAGAGTATCAAGGCGGATAAGATGTTCTTAATGGATTGTTAATTGTTACATCTGCCACTCCAACTAGGGGAAGCAACAGAGTATCGATAGATGTTCCAAAGCTGCTTTGCTTTAAACTGACCTTTAGACTTGAGATTAAAACCAGAAATGAGCTCATCACTTGTGCGAACTTAGTTGTACAAATAAATACTGTGATTGTTTCTGTCCCACCATAATCACAGAAATATAATCATATATGCAAAAACACACATTACAGAAAGACGAGTGAGTCGTTGTTGCAGTAATGGCTGCAGTATTTGAGGAGACTGCCGTCTCTATGGCAGTGTGTGGAATCAAGACCCGAGTCAGAACCTATCATCACCATCATTACCGTTACCTATGAAGCAGTCGCACTTAGCGCAGCAGGGAGGCAAATCACGGATCCCATCAGGGGTGCAAATTACCCACAGGTTGTTCTGCAGCTGGGCAAGATGGTGATCAGAGAATTAAAAATAGCTTTCCCCCTCCGTCACTGTTGGTTTCCAGTCAGCAGAAATGTCCCACCACATGGCTATTTTTAACTACATGAAACAATCTGACTGGCTATAGTGAGTATTTATAACAGTTTTTCAAGAAATTCTTCTTATTTCTGTTTTAAAATCAGTTACTCTGAGTTAATTTGGAGCTGAAAGTTTTTCTGTAGGAAAAAGGGACGAAAAGCAGGAAAGAGGACGTGGCAGAGGAGAGACAAGCAATAAACGTCCAGCTGGCCAGTAGGCCAAGCAGGGACTCTCTGCTTGATGGCACTCGTGCCCTTGTGGAATTCGCCCAAACCACTCTGCTGCTGGATGACCCCTCTGTTCCTCATTTCCAATAAATAAAATCCCCCTCTGCAGACAAAACCCATCTCTTTTGGAGGCAAAAAAGAGACAGAAAATAGACCCTTTTACTACCTACGTCATCAAAAGTTGCGTGCGCAGCCTGGCAACGAAACTGAAGGCTTCCTCATTCACACTCGATACTAAAACAGAGTTTTAAAGCCTTTGTTTTGAAGTTCTGAGCACATAAAAATGTCGGGTTGTTGCGTGTATGGATGCCAGAATCGCTTCTCTTCAAGCAGTGGACTGAAACTTTACATTATTCCGAAGGGAGCACATCCATTTCAAACAAATCGGAGGCGTCTGTGGCTGCAGGCCATCAAAAGGGTTGATGAAAACTGGACTGAAAACACGATCCGAAAAGCTCGAGGTTGTAGCGCCCATTTTATATCAGGTAAGGTAATTATGTACTAAGATTACACCAGAAAGCTGGTTAACGTGTGTTCTATTAAATAAAGTAAGTTGCGTTTGCTGGTTTGCAAATGAAATTAACATTTCATTCTAATTCATCTGTATTTTTTCACTGCATATTAGTATAAACTGTATTTCTCTAAAATTAACACGATTGAACTCTGAGCATGCTAAATAAAGAAACCTATGCTATACTCACCCTGCCATGCAGGTACAGTTGGCTGTGAAGACGTAGTTCTCTGGTTTGTTTACTATGACCCAAGCCTCGTACATAGCAGTCTTGTGTCCTTGTCTTTGGCTAGGAAGGACTTCTGCCTTCAAGATGCAAAACTGCATCTAACGATTTGTATGCCCGTAGCTTCTCACGTGTGTACTTACTGGGCCTCTCCACTAAAAATGTATATATATCGGGCCACTGGATGTCTGGCCACGCACCTACATCTTACACCCATTCCGTAATGCCACAGGGATCCGGGAGTCTGTTGCCATTCGTTAAAGTGAGATTAATAATATAACATTCAAGATTTGCCAGTGATAACCCCGCAGCGTAGCTTTATAAAGCCTGAAACAACACCATTCTCTGTTGCCAAGCTGCGCGCGCATTCTCGCTGACGTCATATTGTTTACAAACAGTAAAAGGGTCTATAAGACATTTAGTGCATTTAATTAGATAATTTCTGGCTGAACTGAGAACAACTGGCTGCATGCTCTCTCAGCTTGAGTTTCTATTTTAATTATCTTACTTTCCAAGCTTTCATGCTTTTAATAGTCTGTAACTACTAGTCTCAAACCTCCACCTTTCAGATGGAGCTGCATACGGGTTCTGCACATTTCAGGACACTGACCTCTCTTTAAAGTCGAGGAAGATCTTGCCAAGGCCGCTTCCTCCACTGACCATGTTCATGTCTATGGCTCGCAGGAGGGCAAAGTGCACTCGGATTATATCCTGAGGAAAAGGAAAAGTATAGGATATCATACTTGTGTTAAAAAAGCAAGCCACAACATGAACAGACTATAAATGTACCCTACATTAATCAGATAAAGAATATTGGACTATTATTCATCTAACTCAGCGTGTGTGTTATGAGTGACAAACAGCTACGACCATATCAGGTTTTAGCTCTAATAAATGAATGAGTTAAAGCTAGTTTTGAGTTTGCTAATATCAGTTAGCTTTCAAGGCCATTCTGAATGTGGCTTCACTACAAAAGTCAATCAGTTATAGCTGTACATCCAGGGGTTACTTTCTGGGAGTTTCATTAAAATCCACCAGTGGTTTATGAGGTGGGTGACTATAAGATGAATAAACACATGCTAGCATAGAAAAAAATAGCACACACACCTTTTGACTGTCAGGGGTGGGTCATAAAAAACTTTGTAACTCAGACCGGAAAGTGGAAATTTGCAAAGCTATCTGAAAACCATGTAATGCCTTTAAAATGCATTAACTGGTGTTTTTAAATCACAATTAAAGCTTTAAGGGGAGTATATAACTTACATTTGCATCGTCACAAAGTAATTACTGATCTGAGGTCAGCTCTAATGCAAAACAATGATAGAAGGTCATCTGAGGACTCTGTAAAGTTCCCCAGGTTACTTTTAGGAAGTTTGTGTCAGTTTTTGGTGGTGATCATCTAGGACGAATACTCTGATGTCTACAGCTAGATCGTACAAAGGGCCCAGAGTGATCATCTGGATCACTTCATCTGAACACACATAACATCTTTATTATAAAAAGCATATTAAGAATTAGAATCTGTTCCTGTTGTCCCTGTGGTGAAAACATGGACCGATAAAGGTTTCCATACTAATGTTGACTAAAGAAAAATGCAAGAACATATTTACCTTCACCTGACCATCTACTCACCTCAAAGTTGACAAAAATAGCCACCATTTCTTGTGGGTTTAAGACTTGCTTCAGCGGGATCATGTAATTCTTAAAGGCAAGCCAGAGACAAATCAGTGACTTTTAAAAAGTACAAATCAATACATCTTTTCAACAATGTTGAAAGCAGAGACAGAGTTTTATTTTTTTCTACATGAAAATGTGTCCATAACGTAGAAACAAAGCTTGATCTGAGCTTTTAGCAGGAATCAATACCCTGGAAATACACAGGCATTATTTATCGTGTCATTTAGTTTGAGGATGCAACACTTAGAGACCCGTAACGGCAGAGAGCTGGTGTGCTGCTTGTAGTCAACATGAAAAACCCTCACAGACTCCCTGCTTTATGGCTGTCGCATTTCATCATCGTAATGATAACAAATAGATCAACTTAGAGGCAACGCTAAAAACGACAGACTTTATGAACCCCGACTCAATTAAGCTTTACGAGTCTTCTGATAATAAGAGGCGTATTTATTCTGATTTGCTCTCTCACGTTGCTCTGATGTGGGAAACACAGATTGCACATTTAGTTTAATGAAATTAGCGGTGCGGGTGATTTGTAGAGCTCCATCTAATCGCAGAAGAGATCTGCGAACGCTGAAACTGATGTGTTAGCAGCGCTGATCTCAACAGTTGTTTAATATTAGAAAACTGTAGGTATGTGTGTGAGTATACAGGCCCTTTAAATCCTCAGACTTTATCGCTTACATGGTCATAACAGTATTATGACGAAACGAGTTGTTATATTTGCTTACATTTGGGTTTATAACTATACCCTATTGAGTTATTCATTTGGTGAGGTTTACCATCTATGTGTAGGGATGCACTGAAAATTTGGCCACTAAAATGACAAAGAGACAATGTTTAGTTTTTACCATTAATCTCCAGAAATTTCTATTGACATGTTGTCAAAAATGAATTTAATGATGCCCAGTTGTTGAAAAATATTGGTGGCTTTGTAACATATAACCATAAAAATCAGGTATAAAATACATGGAGTCTCTGGGTGACGCCATTTTACCCACCATGCTCCTTCTACATGAGCCCGTGAGGACAAAACTAATTTTCTGATTAGTAACCAACAATTGCAAAACTTTCACCATCCATAAACATTGTTTAATCTCTTCACTCGTTGCCAGTGATGAAAGGGAGTCTGATGTACTTGTCGTTTTGCTGGAGGTTGAATGAACTGACAAGTACCTGTTCAAAAATTGCTCCCCCAAGTGATTTTTGGCCCTAATGACCATCAGTTAGTAATGACCATCCGTTGGTAAGGTGTTACTCGAACACAAAAATACAGCTTGCTTGAAATGATTTAGCTATGCAGTGCCCGCTATCGCCAGGGAAAATGCACACAGTCACTTTAAAAGTGCCTTTTCGGTTTTTGGCTGCATTTAGTTAAAATATCCAACATGGCGGTGTACTCAGAGTAAAAAAAAAGCTGTAAGTAACGTAACTTCAGCTTTAATAATTTTCATTCTACACAAAATCTGATGACTTTTGAAGCATTAATGCTAGTATATCGGTATCGACGGGTATCGGTTATCGGCCATAACAGTGATATTGATATTGAATATCGGCAAAAAATTTCATATCACTAATTATTTTTATGGAAACAAGGAGCTGGAACACACAAACACTTAGTCCTCACTAGGGTTGGGCATCGAGCATTGATTGGAACCGGTTCCAACTGTTCATTTTTCCTGGAATTGCTCAATGTTTTGTATTTCGATTCCTAGTATGCAGACGAAAAAGGAATCCGTGGCCAATCTCCTTGAAAAATAAACGTGATCTGCAAATTGTGATCAATGCTTTTCAGAGCTGATCACACCAGCTGTTTGTGTGCAGCACCGAGTCCCCCCTCCCCCAACCCGGCACGTAGCGGCCAAATCTAAACAAAAGTGTCTGCCGAACTTTTACTCCGTAACGTAAACTTTAACTTCTGCAGCGTAGAGGAAACTTGTTAAAATACGTGAACACAGTGGATTTAATAGGTTTTAAAGAACAAACTCTGGATGGTGTGAGATGAGTTTGGCTCACTGCAGAAATAAAAACACACACGGAGCGTCAGCAGTCAGACACGTGAGTGTCAGAAGGCTGAACAATAACCTGTAGAATAATTAAAGTCATCATGCTAGAGAAGCTTGTCCGTGATGGACCACACCAGCTTCTTCCACAATAAATAATAATAATAATAATAATAATAACCATAATAATAATAATAATAATAATAATAATAATAATAATAATAATAATAATAATAATAACAATAATAATAATAATTATTATTATAAATCACACACAAACTTGTGAACATTTTAATTTCCTTTCTGAACTATTTCTGTTGAGTTTTAATGTTTAAAATCTGTTAGGTTGTTACTGACAGCAGCTACATTTAAGTTTCACTTTCTGTTCTGACTGAATGCTGCTGCAGCATGGAGGTGTAGTTCTCAGTCATCCTGGACATGATCATCCTGAGAGTTTTAGCTGAAAACAGCTGGACGTTTCTGGATATGTTGGAGACATTTAGCCCAGAAGCTTCTTCCAGACTTTGGTTGTGGTCAGAAACAAACACACTGATTGTGCTGCAAGTCTTTTTCTTTTATTCTCCAAAACATGTTTTTGTCTAAATGAAGGTGATGTTATTGTTCATAGTTAGAATTCATGTTGAAGTTAAGATTTCATCTAGTAGGATCGTGGTTAGCTGGCTCATGCAAAACATGTCATGTCTTCAAAGAATCGGAATCGATAGGAACCGGAATCGAAACGAGGAATTGGAATCAGAATCGTTCAAAATCAAACAATGCCCATCCCTAGTCCTCACTGCTACTCTCCGAATCCATGTTGTCCGCACAAATAATCAGTGAGAAACTTCTGTGCTTCAGGTCATGTTCCCAATGAGTAGAGCAACAGACTCATGTGACAAAGCCGTAGTAGTCCTACACAGAAAAATGTAAAAGGCGCTTGACACTTTGTGTTTTTATTAGAGACTATGTTTCATTTTAAAGTCTTTCTCAGCAGACCTTTCAGTTATAAGCCTGTACAATTATAATGTATTCTTTTGACTTATTTATAATGAGTTTTTATTTAATGTACACGAGTAGGGTCAATTGAAACATTTTATATAGAGTTTTAATTTTTATTATGCATTGTTGTTACAACAGTGCTGAATTAATATTTTCATTGATTTATTGCAATGCTGTGGGATCACCACTTGTGGGAGGGGCCAAAGGGGTCTGGTGCAGTGTGTGATGGGTGGTAGTCGAGGGCGGGGACCTTGGCGGTCTGATCCTCGGCTACAGAAGCTGGCTCTTGGCACATGGAATGTCACCTCTCTGGTGGGGAAGGAGCCTGAGTTGGTGTGTGAGGTTGAGAGGTTCCGACTAGATATTGTCGGACTCACCTCAACGCATGGCTCTGGCTCTGGAACCTGTTTCCTTGAGAGGGGTTGGACTTTCTACCACTCTGGATTTGCTCCCACTGAGAGGCGCCGAGCAGGGGTGGGTATACTAGTTGTCCCCCATCTTGGTGCCTGTACGTTGGGGTTTACCCCAGTGAATGAGAGGGTAGCCTCCCTCCGCCTATGTGTGGGGGGACAGGTTCTGACTGTGGTCTGTGCTTATGCACCAAACTACAGTTCAGACCACCCACCCTTGTTGGAGACCTTGGAGGGGTTCCTGGAAATTGCTCCTTCCGGTGACTCCCTCGTTCTGCTGGGGGACCTTAACGCTCACGTGGGCAACAAAAGTGAGACCTGGAGAGGTGTGGTTGGGAGGAACGGCCCCCCGATCTGAATTCGAGTGGTGTTTTTTTTATTGGACTTCTGAGCCAGTCATGGATTCTCCATAATGAACACCATGTTCAGACATAAAGGTGTCCATATGTGCTCTTGGCACCAGGACACCTTAGGCCGCAGCTCGATGATCAAATTTGTTGTCGTTTTGTCTGACCTGCGGCCGTATGTCTTGGACACTCGGGTGAATAGAGGAGCGGAGCTGTCAACTGACCATTACCTGGTGGTGAGCTGGCTTAGATGGTGGGGGAGGATGCTGGTCAGACCAGGCAGGCCTAAAAGTATCGCGAGGGTCTGCTAGGAACGTCTGGCAGTGTCTCCTGTCAGAAGGAGCTTTAATTCCCACCTCCGACAGAACTTCCAAAATATTCTGGGGGAGGCAGGGGACATTGAGTCTGAATAGACCCTGTTCCGTGCCTCCATTGTTGAGGCGGCCGACCGGAGCTGTGGTCGCAGGATCGTCGGTGCCTGTTGTGGTGGCAACCCCCAAACCCGCTGGTGGACACCGGCGGTTAGGGATGCTGTCAAGCTGAAGAAAGAGTCCTATCAGGTCTTTTGGGCCTGTGGGACTCCAGAGGAAGCTGACGGGTACCGGCAGTCCAAGCAGAACGTGGCTCAGGTGGTTGCCAAGGCAAAAACGTGGGCATGGGAGGAGTTCGGTGAGACCATGGAGCAAGACTTCCGTACGGCTTCGAGGAGATTCTGGTCCACCATCTGGCGCTTCAGGTGGGGAAAGCAGTGCGCTACCAACACTATCTATAGTGGGGAAGGTGTGCTGCTGACCTCTACTCAGGACGTTGTGGATCGGTGGGCAGAATACTTCGAAGACCTCCTCAATCCCACCGAAACGTCTTCCAGTGAGGAAGCAGAGTATGGGGACTTTGGGTTGGCCTCTTAAATCTCTGGTGCTGAGGTCACTGAGGTGGTTAAAAAGCTCCTCTGTGGCAAGGCTCCAGGGGTGGATGAGATCAGCCCAGAGTTCCTTAAGGCTCTGGATGTTGTGGGGCTGTGTTGGCTGACGCGGCTCTGCAATATCGCATGGACATCGGGGACAGTCCCCATGGACTGGCAGACCGGGGTGGTGGTCCCCTTATTTAAAAAGGGGGACCAAAGGGTGTGTTCCAACTAAAAGGAGATCACACTCCTGAGCCATCCTTGTAAGGTCTATTCAGGGGATCTGGAGAGGGTCCGTCGAATTGTTGAGCCTCAGATTCAGGAGGAGCAATGTGATTTTCGTCCTGGCCGTTGAACACTGGACCAGCTCAATATCCTTAGGGGGATCCTGGAGGGTGCGTGGGAATTTGCCCAACCAGTCTACATGTGTTTTGGAGATTTGGAGAAGGCGTTTGACAGCGTCCCTCGGGGGGCCCTGTGGGGGGCCCTGTGGGGGGTACTCCGGGAATATGGGGTATCAGGCCCTCTGATACGGGCTGTTAGGTCGCTGTATGACCAATGTCAGAGCTTGGTCCACATTGCCGGCAGCAAGTCGGGCTCGTTCCCAGTGAGAGTTGGACTGCACCAAGGCTGCCTTTTGTCACCGATTCTGTTCATAACCTTTATGGACAGGATTTCTAGGCGGTGTGGAGGGCATCCGTTTTGGTGGCCTGAGGATCAGGTCTCTGCTTTTTGCAGATGATGTGGTCCTGTTGGCTTCATCAGAATGTGATCTTCAGCTTTTGCTGGAGCGGTTCACAGCCGAGTGTGAAGCAGCTGGGATGAGAATCAGCTCTTCTAAATCTGAGACCATGGTCTTGATTCAGAAATGGGTTGAATGCCTTCTTCGGGTCAGGGATGAGGTCCTGCCCCAAATGGAGGAGTTTAAGTATCTCGGGGTCTTGTTCACGAGTGAGGGAAAACTGGAGCGTGAGATCGATAGGCGGATTGGTGCTGCATCTGCAGTGATGCGGACGTTGTACCTGTCTGTTGTGGTGAAGAGAGAACTGAGTCAGAAGGCGAAGCTCTTGATTTACCGGTCGATCTACGTTCCTACCCTCACCTATGGTCATGGGCTTTGGGTAGTGACCGAAAGAACGAGATCGCGGATACAATCGGCCGAAATTAGTTTTCTCCGAAGAATGGCTGGGCTCTCCCTTAGAGATAGGGTGAGAAGCTCGGGCATCCGGGAGGGGCTCGGAGTAGACCCGCTGCTCCTCCACATCGAGAGGAGCCAGTTGAGGTGGCTCGGGCATCTGGTCAGAATGCCTCCTGGACGCCTCCCTGGTGAGGTTTTCTGGGCACATCCAACCGGGACGAGACCTAAAGGTAGACCCAGGACATGGTGGAGGGACTATGTCTCTCACCTGACCAAGGAACGCCTTGGGATTCCCCCGGAAGTCTGGGCCTCTCGCCTTAGGCTACTGCCCCTGCGACCCGACTCTGGATAAGCGAATGAAAATGGATGGATGGATTGATATTGCAATGCCTTGATTTTAGAATAAAATTTATAGAATAATTTGAAGAAAAATAACAACAAAAGTACATGTATATACACACATAGGCAGTAAGCTATTATTGTAACCTTTGGCCACTAAAAAACACGAATAAAAATGAAACTTGGGTTTCCAGAACTAGGTAGCATAAGGGACACATACATACTTTGTAAAACCAGTATTTAAAGTATTGAACACACACTAAGTATTCAATTAATTGCAAATGCTATGGTTTAATTATTGACATGATAATTTCTTTCGGTGTTTCGGCTTTGGTTTCCTTATTTTTGGTGTTGGTCGAGGATTTTCATTTCAGTGCATCCCTAATGATGTACAAACTAGTGATCAATGTCTCCCATTGGGATCATGATAATAATAACCCTATTGATCAGCCATGGTGACATTTGTGCTCCCAAATGAATCTGCTGATATTTGACATTTCCATGCTGAGGCACCAAACAGGTGGCATGAAGGGTATGGGACCAGGAAAAAATAATGACATAAAGTTAACTCACCTTCTCTATGTCCTCTAGAGTCTTGTAATACTTGGCTTCTGTCTGCTGGATCTCAACTAGACAGCAGTTTCTTTTGTCATCTTCTGTCATGCCCATTTTCTAAAGTGAGAACACATTTATTAAAGGTAAAGCATAATGTATCTAATATAATTAGAGATTTTACCAAAGCACTCAGCAGGACACGGCACCTAAAGTTCAAGAACACAGGTTTGTGTGTTGTATTCAATGTCAGGCTTGTTTCAAGGATTTTGGTTTTAGTTTTCTGGGTTTAAGAGGCCTCCGGGAACAACTGGATTCCAGTCAACATCCAAAAAACTTTCAAAATAAGAGTTCTTAGACATTTCATTTGTTATAGATCTTTCTTTTAAGTTTCTAACATTTACGTTGAACACACTCGGGAACATACAGATACTTAACTACAACATCTCTATTCTGTGTTGTGACTCATATAAAAACTGTTTGGATAAATCATATAAGTAAGTTAGCCATCTGGAGTTGTTCTGGCTCTTCGCCGCTTGAGTAAATAACACAAAAACTGGAACTAAATTTTTAAAAGAGGAAAGTCCAGTCCAGGCTGTCCAGCATGTAATTAACAGAAAACAAAAGGAGACGTGAGGCACAAAGCCAACAAAACTAAGTTAGTTGAAGCAGATGGCGCCGCTCGCTGACATCATTTAACACTGCAGTCATGGAGTTACAGGGACAAGCCTCGAGTCAGACTCCCAACCAGATGGGGTCTCTGCCACCGCCGTGCACAGGTCACTAACCATACTGGCAGGTCAGTCTCTTTTGATGCAATGTGTTTGAAATGAATGGTGCGAGTCACAAACACAGCAGAACTTACCTGCATGTATCTGATCTGCAGCATGAGGAGGGCAAAGCACGTCACAGGTTTAACACCCAGTATTAAACAGTGAAAGGTAGGATGCTTTAGGGTTAGAATAAACACTGAATACATGCTCAAACAGGGTCATGCATGTGAGTCAGATTCATAGCAAAACTAGTGATATTGGAATTAAGTCTCAGGCCAACAAAACCCCTGACGACCCTGAGGAGTAAATGGATGTATGAGATAGTTTTCATCAGAGATCTCACTATAATTCAAAAGCATTAAATCCACACATTTATATGGAACTGAAAACATTTCTTGGATTAAGCAGTGAAATATCTTCAAATACCAGGGAAGTGAATTCTGGGTGAGTTTGGCTCTTTACTAACCTTCCTGTCCTGTCCATACCTGAGTTATTTATGTACATGAAGATGATCTGTAATCTGATATTTAGTTGGGAAATGTGATAACAGAACAGATATCTCACCATGGGTTGTCGTACTTCCACCTTAATGATGTCCTCATAGATGTCATCACCATCGTCGTCACACGGCACACAGTCGTAGATGTCGTCCTCACCCAAATCATGCTCACTGAAGACAATAAAGTAGACATACAGAATTTACTTTTTTTTATGTTTGGTGTTGTAGTCAAAAGCACAGCCGTACGTGTTAGAAACCCTGAGAAGTGTTGTGTAGTAAGTGGCATTTCCCTTTAATCTGTTTATATTGTTGTGGCGCCCGGTGAGCTAACTGACCTTTAATTAGGCCAGCAGCCAGCAGAGCAACAGACAGTTACTGTGGAGAGGAGCATCTTTTACTCCTCACGCTGTCGGAGATCAACACTACAGCCTCAAAGAGCAATTACCGCTCTGGAAACTTTGCTTTGGAAAAAAGGAGGAACTTCAGGGGTGAATGAGTCCAACCCTAATGTAGTACATAAAAACAAAAGCTTTGAATGAAGAAGTATTATTTAAAAGGTTAGTATTTAATGCTTGATGATGTAAAACTGAAAAAATTTTTGAAAAAAATAATTGTAAGATATTCAGAATGGACATGTTCTACTCTGATCTCCAAATGATGCACAGCTAATGCTTTACTATGGATTTTTACACTTCGTGACTATTACCCCAGTTTATATTGGAACGCATAAACTAAAAGTTTGGCTCCCCGTATTTAACCTTTATGTCCTGCTTGACAGCCATGCTGGGATTTTTTTAGTGTTTCCTCAAATTTGACCTGGTGTTTTAGAAGTTAGATGACACTTTATCACCACCAGCACAGAGTCCACAACAACAGCAAAGCTTAATGTTGTCAACTTTAGCTGAAACAGACTCCAAATAGCCTCTGTTTTTCCAGAAATCTCTCCCTGTGCTCTTTGTGTTGTAGATTGCTTGGTATGTATGACAGTGAGCCATACATGTTGAAAATGTGACTCTCCCACATTTAAAATTGTTTTTAATTTAAACTGTTTTGAGGGCGAACACCTTCCAGTCAAAACTGGGGGATAACCTGACCCAGACATTCCTCTCCCGTTACATTTTCCCTTGGAGATTCCAAGATGAACCCCACAGCAAATTCTGGGCAAGTCTTACCAGTAGGATGTTCACAGAAAACCTAATAGGCACCAGGAGACATTTTAGTTAGATACCCAGACCACCTCATCCAGAGTTTTCCCCAGCGATTCTTACGCTTGGTGGGCTGCCAGGCCTTGCTTGGCCCCCCGCCAGGCCGAGCGTCCAACCCCCCAGCTGTCACAGACGACGCACTGTAGCAAAACGATCCACGGTGGAGAATGAAGAATCATACCCATACTAACTTATTCAAGCACCATCTTGCACTGGTGATCTTCTCAGTCCCTACACCACCAGCAGGTCCCTGAGGTCCAGTGACCAAAGCCTACTGGTTGTGCAGCACCAGGCTAAAGACCAAAGGTGACAGATCATCTGCTGCTGTGGCCCCCAGACTCTGGAAGTCTCTCCCCCTGAGCCTGAGATCAGTGGACTCAGTGGTCTCCTTTAAAAAGCAGCTGAAACCCCACCTGTTCAGGCTGGATTTGAAGTGACCTTCATCACGCTCTCCTTGATCAGCTCTTCCTACCTATCTAACTTTCCCAGGATCCACTGATTTCCCTCTTTCCTCTTCATTTTCTCTCTTCATTTCCTTAAATTTTTAAATCACAATTTTTTATTTTTTCTCATTTTAACTATATATTTTTCAATGTTTTTAAATTATTTTTTATATCTTAAATATTTTGTTCTTGTGAAGTGCCTCATGATTTTTATCTTGAGAGGTGCTATAGAAAATATTGTTTTCTTTCTTTCTTATTCATAATTGCTAAACTTGACTATTTTATAGGATGAATCATCAAACAAAAGATTAAAGCAGTGAAGTCAGTGAGTTGTTTGGGACCATTAAGAAGTGTTTACATGTGATGTTGCCGATGGAGCTTAATTATTCCTCCTGCTGTGCGAACAGGGAATAAAGAAACCTGTCCTCAATCAAATCTTAAGCCTGCCTTGATGCTCATGTGAGTCTTGTTTGAAGTTTTAATTGGGGTTTCTTGGTTCACCTTCTGTAATGTTTTTATTTTCTTTCATTAAGTGAAAGTGGTTCACGTTGAACACAGGGAAACTGCGTGGGTGGACAGCGCCTGATGGATGTTGTCCCGTCTCTGTGGGACTGCAGCGTGACTCTCAAAGGTGGAGGTGTTGGAGGAGCAGACACTGATCTGTCTGAGACAATGTGTAGTTTTACTTTTAATCTCTGGGAATGTCCATCCAAATGCTGTTGAAAATGAATAAAATAATGTTCAGTTGTTCAAAATTATTGGCAGCTCCACAACATTTACCCATAAATATTTGTTTTAAAGTACATAAGGTGCAGGTCTAGCGTCTTTGGGGGATGCCATATAAGACGCCATGTTTCCTTCTGGCCGACTTGGGATCCTGTGACTGTCAATGGTTGGATGTACAACTTACGAAAGTTATGTTACCACGTTCAAAAACATTTAGGTAGTAAAAAACATGAATTTAATAACAAAGCTGATGAACTCTTTCCAAAACATAAGTGAAAGAACAGAATCAAAACAGAGATGCAATATATTTTGGCCGAGCGGTATTGCCATAGTACGATGACGTTATCGGCAGGCGCAGGACCCTGAGCAGATCTGGCAACTACAGCAGCATTGTATATTAAGGTAGCGCGACTCATGGTTGCGAATGACCACAGTCACCAATTCTTGTCATGTGTCTTGCCCATGTATGTCTGATCTCTGAATTGTGTGTACTGAAACTCTAATTTCCCTCTGGGATTAATAAAGTATCTTTGATTTGATTCTCCCGATGGAATTAACTGAAGGAGCATCAAAGTCTGAGGAGACCCACCGGGGCTGCATGCTTTCTGCTCCACAGGTAACCATATTTACCGTAATGTTCTTTAAACTGGCGACAGTCACGGCGATGTGGTGTAAAACTACCCTGAAAGATGTGTATGTACCGCCCCCTAGCGACAGGAAACTACACATTATCATTTTGATTTTGCTTTAAGTCCTCTGAGAATGTGAGTTTATGTTTAGGTAAATGAATGAGACCTGTAATGAGATCTAAGAGGAGAGGCTACTTTTGAAAAATGTGTTTAAGTGAGAATTATTATCTACTAGTGTCTTACTCTCTTTAGTGTCTCCAATTTAGATCTATTCTGACAAATGAAAACTTGACTTCCTGTTGATTGATGGTGCCGATTAAAGCTTCTAACCTCTTGCCAGTTAGTAATTTCTCTATTCTCTGCTCATTTGAGTCTTGAATCTTAATATGGATTCATTTAAACCTTGTATTTTATGTTATGGTTTGATTAGAATTTCACATTTATTGAGTAATTCATTAATCAAAATTTGCTGTAATAAATGGACCCTCTTGAGAACCTGCATTCCCTAAAGAGGTAATACCATATTATAATGATATTAATTAGTATTATTATAATATTTTATTCTGTTAATCCTGTATTATTCAGGGAGACTGGATTCTATCAAAAATAATAATTTAATAAATTGTTTTTATGATCATTAGTAGCCAAAATCAAACTTTAAATGTAGGTTGGACTGATTGCACAGCCCTGCTTTGCGGCTCAGTCTTTAAAAAATTTGTGAGTCAGTTCATTTTCAACCTTTAAGTTCAAAAGCCAACCAAATGCAACCACGACCACTTTATTAGATCGGATATGAAAAATACCAAATATATTTGAGCCTGCACTTTCAGGAGCCCAGTCGATCAGTGCAGAGGTGTAAACAAAACACGTGTTTTTAAACATAATGAACACTATCAACAGAGAGCAGCTTTAATGGCACAGGTGGTACATTTTCATTGACGAATCTGATGATTCATTCAGCGTCACGTCCCCTGAGGAGACAGAAACAGATCTCCCCATGTGTTGTTGTTAAAACAGGGAGGAAGAAAACAAAGGGTTATAGTTCTCTAAGTGACGTCACACATCACACAACCACTCCCCTAAGTTCCTGACAGACAATAAAAAATAATTCAGATGGGCTGCGCATGTTTATGTGTATAGGTGTTTGCCTGTGCAAGCACCAGAATGCATCAGAGGGGACAGCGAGTGGGAGTGAGGGACCAGGGGGTTTCATGAATCAAGTCTAATTTTCTGTCTGATAACACAGACCAGAGGGTGTCCAATGTTCCTGCATGCAACCAAATCTGTGGGTGCTCCCGGGTTCGGACGACAAAGAGCTTCATCAGTGAGGAGGAGGAGGATGACTCAGATAATACGTTCAACAAGGCTATGCTTCAGTTCAAATGAGTTAGAATCTGTATATTTTGAATTACATGGAGTCTGTAATGATGTGCTATGCCCTGCTCTCTCGTGGGAATCCCACAGCATCTTCAGGCCACCTCAGCTGAAAGAGAAAGGCTCTACTCAGAGCTAACTCTGGTTGGTAGAGTTCCTAATCTCATATCTAGGTCTGAGCGCAGCCACCCAATGGATACAGCTCAGTTTAATCCAGGATCGCATTATTTCAGTCATCACCCATATCTCAAAGACAAAAGTAGGGCTGGAACAAAGATAGAACCTTAAGTTGAAAGCTTTGCTCTTTGACTTGGCTGCCTTCTTTACCACAACACCCTCATAACCGAAGATGAGGCCCAGATCCGTAGCTTCGTCTACCATCGCTCAAGAACATGACAACAAGATACTTGAACCTCTATCTGAGGTTGATTCTCTCCCAAATTTAAGGGGGCATTCCACCTTTTTCCAGGCAAGAACCATGACCTCAGATGAGCTAATAAAAATAAAATATTCATCCATCCATTTTCTGCCACTTATCGAGAGACAGGTCATTGGGGCAGCAGCCTAAGCAGGGAGGCCCAGACTTCCTCTCATCAGCCACTTGGGCCAGCTCCTTCAGGGGAATCCCAAGGCATTCCCTGACCAGCTGAGAGACATAGGGTGTTTCTCAATGCCAAGGAACCTTGCCTTGATGTCTTGGTCCCGCCCCGGTTGCCTAGGAGATACATCATCAGTAACCGCCAAGGCGTGTTACAATGTTCATGTTCTACAGAGGCGTGTGTTCTTCATTTGTT